TGGCAGGACGGATTTGGCCCGCGGGCCTTGTGTTTGACACATGTGCTAGAGGCTGGAAGCTCGTCTTGCACCTCCCCACTAGGAACCATCCAGCGGCCCCTTTGGGCAGAGAGTGCTGCTCTCTCCCACGTCGGTCCCACCTGGGCACAGAAGTGCCCAACTCACTGATGAACAAAAACAGATCCAGAGAAAGAGAAGCAGCGATCAGACTCTCAAACCTCAGAGGGAAAATAGGGGAGGGTGGGGGTAAAGAGAAGAGATCAACCAAAGGACTTGTGTGCATGCATATGGGCCTAGCCAGTGGCCATGGACAACAAGAAGGTGGGGGCATATTTAGGGAGGGGTTTGGGATGGGAATGGGGGGATAAGGACAATTATGTGAGACCATAATCAAATAAATTAATTTTAAAAAAAATAAGTGTCCAACTCTTGTCTCGCGGCCACGCAAAACTTCTTTCCACCTGCGGAGTCAGACAACTTCAGGGGCTGCGGCTAGGGCACCGTGGGTCTCAGGGCAGTCTGGGGGTGGGGGGGGGCGGGGAGTAGGTTTGTTCTGTCTCCCTGCAGCTCTCCTCTGATCTCAGGCAAATCAACTCCATGTCCAATTCTTCAGCTTGAGCTCAAACTAGGACCCCTGCAACAAAAGTATTCATCCTGACACTTTATCAAAGCTATCTTAAATCTTATTTGATTCTGTCCAATGCCTCAGAGATGGAGATATTGATTTCTCTGTTATACAGATAAGGACACAGATTTAGTTGCACAGCATGTTAAAGTAGGAGATGGAAGGAGCCACAAATTATTTTAAAGTTGTATTGATACATATATAAGTCTCAGAGCTGGTCTCTGCAGTGTTAATCCAGAGGCACTCTAGAACCAGGGGTGATTTAATTGCAAGACTAGGAGACATTATAAAAGATATGAGAATTCAGTAAGGTATCTGGGTTTAATATTAATATATAGAAATCAAAATCTTGGGGGGGGAGGGCATGTATGGGTGTGGGGGGGGGCAATAGAAAGATACGTACCTTAATTTAAAAAAACTACTTAAATTATAAAAATAAAAAGGAACATTTTCATCTCAAAAAAAATCTTCCATATATGCAAACAGTCATTTAGAAATAGAAAGGAAGGGAAGATTACATTTTACTAGCAATAAAAAATATTAAACATTATGGGAAAAGCTTAAGAAATGTACAATATCAACATATATAAAAAAAAAAACCACAAGAAAGTTTAAACATCATTAATGCTACACATACAAAAAAAAAAAAAACCTGAACAAATAAAAAGGCATATCAGCCCTAACTGGTATGGCTTAGTGGATAGAGAGTAGGCCTGTGGGCTGAAGGGTCCCCAGTTCCATTTTGGTCAAGGGTACATGCCCAGATTGCATATTGAAGCTTAGAAAGATTAAGAAACTTCCACCCAACTATAATCAGTGGAGCTAGGATTTGAACCCAGGCGGACCCAGTCCTCAGTTCTGTACTCTCAACCTTAAAGCTGAGCTGAGCTGCTCAGGCAAGGTAAACAGCCCCAGATCCGGAGGCTGGGCAGAAAGACTGAAGAGATATGCTATATACATTTGCCGAATCAGTTCCTGTGAACCAGGAGCACGGCTGTTGCAGCTGGTATCACAACCGATCAAGGTTGCAGCCTCTGCAGTGATCCATCTGGTCTGGCACCCCGGCTGCGGAGACACAGAATGGGCAGATAAAGAAAACCACCATCTCCATGTCTCCCGGGTCTTTGTCAGTAGGGAGGAAAAGCTGTGCTGCCATCATGGCCCTTGATCCTGAGGTTAGGGAGCTGAGCTGGGGGTTCTGGAAATATCCATCCCAACCATGCCCACCACCCTTTTTCAGGGAAGATCCCTTCAGGGGGAGCTCAAGGCTCTCTTGGGCAAGGCGTGACGCCAGAGCGTCCTCCCTCACCTGGCCTCCAGTGAGCCTCCAGCTTATCCCTGGACCACATGGTTCAGGAATTAGTCTGTTCAGACACCTAATCATCCCCTAAAGCTTGGGTGCTCCCGTCTCCCAAGAGTGTGGACCAAGTCAGAAGCTCCAGGCCTGTTGGGGAAGGCTCACAGGGCACCCTGGCTCTCATATGCCAGCTTCCATCAAGGCTTCTCAACCTCTTTTGCAATGGCTCTTGGTCGATAAACTGATTAAATTTTTATCAATTACTTGAGGGGTCAAATCTAGGGTAGTGGCTCCCCATATTGGGGGGAGGAGGGGACCTGGACCTTCAGGAAACATTTTTAAATGGCTAGAAAACTATATGGTTGTCACATCTGGGAGCAGGGAGAGGGGTTCTATTGGCATTTGGTGAGTAGAGGTCAGGGTGCTACTAAGCATCCTACAAGTCACAGAATTATCCAGCACAAAGCTGGGAAATCCTGTCTAGAGGGTTTCAGTAGCATAAGAACCCTTGGGACCCTTGAGTCCCAACTCTAATCCAGCAGGATCTAGAGTGGGCCTAGGAATCTGCATTTTCAAACAGTCCGTGTAAGTGGACCATATTCCACCCTGAGAAATGCCATCTCCTGATTCCAAAACTCTGATCCCTGGAACTGTGCCAGCCTGGCAACCATCAGGAGCACTTATTAAAAGTCTGGGATTCTTGCTCCATCCCTGGAGATTCTGTTGTAATGTATCTGGTCCAGTATACTATGGGTTTGTTTTGTTCTGAGTGATCCTTATGCAGATTTGTTAATATGCAGTGTGGTCACGTCAGTTTTTCTCACTCTTCTGATAGTGGTTATCAAGTGACTTTGTTCTTGGAAACTCCAAAATAATAAACAAAGGTCACTTCCAGGCGATTGAGGAGCAACCATAACCAGCCCCATGGATTTCACATACACACACACCCTCATATTTCCATTGTTATGAATGAATGATTCTATTTCTGTTCAAAGCAACTACAGTTCCAGGGGCCTTGCTTTAGGAGCTTCCTCAGGGCTGTGATGCTGTAGCATGCAGTCATCTGCATGTACCTCCCCTCCCCATTGAGAATCGGGGCTGCTGGGTATCCCTAGGACCGGTTGGAACTTGTCAGATCTACCAGGATGTTGAGGTAGGAAAGGCCAAACAGGATGGTTGGAAAGCCTGGCATCAGAGCATCAAGTTAGTAAGGCACCTTAGCTCTTTGCCCTTTGTTTTCCCCAAGCAGTGGCCGGCACCTGGTAGGTATCAGTTGTGGTTATGAAATACGCTTGAAGGAAATTTCACCCAGGCTGTGGAATCATCCTGAGAACTATCCCTGCTCCCTGCTAACAGGTTACTAAAGCCCCAGAACCTGTAAAATCATGCTCCTCTGGGTGGCCAGGTATAAACTGGTCTCTGGAGGCTTCCCTCCTGCGTTGGGGTGCTGCCCCCTGCTGGCCATCTGTGTGTCTTACCTCACAGCCTGTCTTCTCCAGAGTCCAGCATCCAGAGCAGGCTGGATCCATCCTGGCTTCCTCCTCTCCCACTGCCAACACGCTGGTCATCTCAGCTACTAAGTAGACCTTCAGTCTGCCCACTCGTCCTTACCACTGCTCACCTGGGCCCCTGTCACCAGGCTCCTGTCCATTATGCACCTTGTAGAGATTATCCCAGAAATCAAATTGGCTTTCTCTGTGGCCTTTGCATTGCCCTTTGGGTTCATCCAAGCTCCTCAGCATGGTCAGGCCTTCACAGTCTGGTCCCTCCTCTATGCACCTCCCCACCCTAAATTTCTTAGCTGTCTTGAAGTGATAGTTTCTTCTGCTTGCTGTTGTCTTGCCCCATGCAGGACATCCTCACCCAGGATAGGTGCACAGCAGGCACATTTGGTCCCTAAGGTATTTTGAAATGAGCAGGCTACACTCCAGAAAGGTTGAGAACCTGTTTTATTGAGCAGCCCGAGAACTGTTCCCTCGGCATTCAGGGGCACAGATGAGTGGTGGTCAAAGTTCCACGTGAGCAAGTCTTCCACATTTTCCTCCTGCCAGGCCTGGTTCTGGCAGAATCCAGACCGGCTGCACTTTCCTTCAGGTCTCAGGAAAATGTAGCTCCGTGTCCACATCTCAGAGCTGCAGCTCCAAGCCACTTCGAGCCCTCTTTCCTGTCCCCACCCTCTGAGGACATGGAAATCAGGTGGGCAGGGAAAGGGTGGCCAGCAAACTTGGCCTCAGCCAAGACTCTGCCACCAAACAGTGATTTCTCATCCATCACTCGTGAGTCACTAGATATAGATTGGATTTTCTGTACAACCCACACACAATACCCCCACTCCAGGAGGGCCACAGGGGTCAGGGCAGGAAGGGAGTCTGAAAGGGGCCTGTAGGATGTCAAGGGGAGGCCCAGCCTGAGCTCTGAGCAACAGGCCATGCCCAGATCAAGAAATCCAGGTGAGACCTCACCCTCTACCACAGGTCCAAAAACAATGCCCACTATTGGGAGGAAGGCCAATCAAATAAATAGTCAATAAATACATGAAATTGGCTTCTTCCTCCCGGGAGGACATGTGGCAGAGAGGAGATCCTGATTGGCTCTGAGGCTGAGGGCAAATGTTTGAGATCTCGGCCTCAGCTCTCCTGAGAGTGAGGGCATGGGCCGGGGTCCCAGGATCCCACTGGTCTGTTGCCTGCTCAGCCAGTCAGAGCCGACGCCCTTCCCTCCCTCACCATCCCAGCCTGACCTCAAAGCCCACAGCTCTGCCCAAACTTTGCCTACACCTGTCTCTCTTCCCCCTCCGCAGCTCGGGTGACCTAGAGGCTGCTGTGAGGGGCTCTGAAGTCTGCCCTCACTGCATCCGAATGAGTGGAGTCCAATCTGGGGGCAGGAGGTGCCTCATTTCTGAGCCTCTGGGGAGGGAGGGGCGCTTATGCACAGCGTGGGATCTGTGCATAAGTGCCCCTCCCTCCCCAGAGGCTCAGGTACAGGGGGAGAACAGAACAAGATATTCTGCGGAGGTACAACTTTCTGAGCGGGCCACTTAAGTGACTCTACAACTATAAAGAATGCTAAACATACAAGTTTCAATCTGGACCCAAACTACTCTGGTGTTTTGGGTGTCAATGATTTTCCCATTACTTCAACCCAGAGGGATCACGACACAGCTGTGGGGGTGGAACAAAGGGGCCTCCGGGGAGAGTTGAGCCAAGGTGATCCGGAGAGCCGGGTACCTGAAAAGCACATCACATGAAAGGGTCACCCCCTCCCTCCCACCCCTCCCTGCCTCTGCCCCAGTCACTCAGCTTATCCCAACTGCCTCTGGCCAGTTATTGCCTCAATGCTCCTGGGCCCCAGGCCTTTCTCTCGGGACAGGTTCTGTATCCCCAGCCATGCCCCCTGGGCCCTCTGAGGAAGCACCTAGAGGACTGTGGTTTGCCATCCATCTGGTGCCCAGCACAGTGCCAGGCAGGCAGAGAGTAGGTGCTCACCACTTTTTTTTTTGTCTGATAAATGAACATCTGAATCCAAACGTAAACTCTTAAAACGGTCCTGCCTGTTCTCGTCCTCCACGCCCGGTGCCCCCTAACCACTGCCCGAGCCCTGGTACCTGGGCTGATGCCGCAGCCGTCACTCCCACAGGAAGCGCACATACCAGATGGTCTCGTTCTTCAGCTGTGGCCCAAACAGCGGGTTCAGCTGGGCCAGGATGGCGATGAGCCAGCTGCCGGGGACAGCACATGGAGGGTGAGCTGGGGCACAGCAGGAACCTCCCAGGAACGTCTCCTACGAGGCTTGTGGTCACATGACCCACCCAATCACCAGCTGTTGGGTCTGTGAGGGGCCCACAGAGCCACCCACACTCCAGCCGGCAGGGAGGCTGGGTCTGGGGTTCGTGGATTTTGGTTTAGATTCGGTTTGACTTGTAGATTTATTAGGTCTCTGAGTTGAGGCTGGACTCTGGGATGAGGGAAGAGGTAAGACAGCCTCCTGGGCACTTCGGGAGTGATTACCAGATATGCCCCAATCCATCCCTGGTGTGGGCTACCCCAGTCTGCACCTGGGGGCAGGACAGGGCTGTTCTGATGGGAGGCATGTCAGAATTACCCCCTTTTAAGAACAACATGAGGAAGTGATGATCAGAATGCCCCACTCCCAAACCTGCTGGGGATGGGACAGGGCCTGTCCCTCAGGCCAGCGAGCTTTCCGGCAACCACAGGTGGCACAGATGGGGCCGAGGGTGTCAGGCCCCATCATCATGACGTCGTTTGCCCAAAGACCCTGGAGGTGCACCACTTCACATGCCTCCAATGCTGGTACCAATGGGGCTCAGTCTGGTTTTGCAGGCAGGATCTAGCTCTTTCACCTCTGAATCCCCACGGCAGCCAGTCACCTGCCTTTCAGAAATGGGTGCCCGCTTATCATTGGCATTACCCCAAGTTTATGTTTTGTAAATAGAATTTCTAAGCATATCATTTGCTTAAGTTGCCCCACCTTTCCGCCCATGTGCACCTGATCTGCAGCCCAGGTTACCTTCCCCTATGCTGATTTGGTGTTTGCAATTACCCACACCCTGTCTATGTTCTGTCGCCCATGTGCCCAGGCACTATCCTCTGTCCTGGTCTCTGAGCCTTCAAACCTCAACGCCCACAGGCCCTCCCTAGGAGAGACAAGGACATCTGTCCGGCCCTAAAAGACCAAGAAACAGCACAGAGAAAGGGACTTAGAGATGCCCTGTCCAGGGAGAATTCTGGAAAACCATATGCCTCATGTATTTAAACTAACCTCTGAAAGTCAGCATTATTTTTCAACAACTTTTATTTATTTTTTTTGTTAATAGGAAGTAGAAATATTAAAAATTATATAAAGTGAAATTAGAATTGACTAATAGGAATAACTAGCTCATTAGACAAAACAGGTTTTAACTATGTAACAGGCACCAGATCTGAAATCAATCATGCACATTTTTTAAAATGTGGGTATTAACCTTTGCATTTGAAAAATTTGGCAGTCCTAAGAAATATCCTAGTTACTTTAAAAAAGAACCAGTTAATTTTTAAAGAATCAGCATTTAATCATGCTACCTGTCCTACCCTGAACACCCAACCACACCAGTCTTAACCCCAAAAATAGTGTATGAGACCCGGGAAGGTGGGAAGCCACAGAGGCCTCAGATGGGCTTGACTGACAATGAAACAGGCCTCCCTAACACCAGAACATTGACTTACTCCTCACTCTGGCAGCCAGGATGATTTAAACATGAAGCAAAGAAGCACTAAAGGATTGGAGATGGATGGATTGGTAGGGAAGGGGCTATCATGAATAGCGGTTTTAGAAATAGACCATCTAGGCGCTGAGGACCTGGAAATTGATTCCCTTGAACTGTCCAGGTTCTCACATCCCTCAGAATGCTCTTCTGTGTTCCCAGGGCCCCCTTTCCAAGTTTGGAGACTGCATATGGTGGCATTATAAATTCGGATTCCAGAGTGCAGACCTTGAGCACTGGGATTTAGTGGGTCTCGGTGAAGCCCTCAGAGCCATATTTCACAGTTTCTCCAGGTGATTCTGATGCCAAGTTGGGCGTAAAAAGCACTGAACTGGACCAACTCACTCGTTTCACACATGAGAAAGCCGCAGCCTGTGGACATTACAAAGCTTGTCCAGGTGACACATTTAGACCCAGAACCGGAGTTCATGATGTCCAGCCTATTGCTCTCCTTGCCATTCCAAACCACCTCCTTTCCTGTGTGTTACAGATCCAGGCTTTCACTACAGGGACAGAAGGGAGGGTTGGGGGAGGGGAAGAGAAAGGCACTGGCTGATTTTGAGCTGGGGAGAGAGGTACTTACAAGAGGTAACAGCAGACAGCAGTGGCTACCAGCATGGTGATGATCACTCTGCAATGGAAGAGGGCGTCAGGTCAGGGCCAAGTATGGATCCACTGTCCTCAGATGGCCTGCCAGGGCCAGAGAAGGAGCTCCTGGTATCAGCCCCTTTTCCATTGGTCCTCCCATGTCACCTGAACACCGACCAGAGGCTGAGTCCTTCTCAGATGAAAAATGAAAATGCTAAGAGTCGCCTCATGGGGAGGCTGATCTTGACCATATCCAAGTCACCTTATGATTCCTTCCCTTCCTCTCCTTTCTCTGTCATCCAATATGTCTCCATCTTAATGCAACCATGTTGGGACTGGACACTCACGGAGCTCATTTGCAGTAGCCCACGGTGGAGGAGTCTCTGCAATTCAAAATTCATTGGGCAAGCGGAAGGAACACTGAAGACTAGAAGGCAGGACAAGAAGCAAGGAAACTGTGCGACGCTGAGGCAGACTGAGTGGCTCTGAGAGCACAGGGGTGGCCACCTTGTGTCCACTCAGACCACTGGAGACAGAAGCTTATAATGCAGCGGGGGGAGACTCCTGTCAGAAGGAAGATCTCACCGAGGTTAGCAGGAGAGGTGCAATGCTAAGAAGCTGTGGGTCCTCAGCCCTGCAGATCTTGGAAAACAGAGGCAACATCCATGTGTCCAAAACTCCAGCCAGAGCTAAACTGAATCCAAACCAGACCCTATGACCTCTGACCCAAAGCACTTGAAGTCCGCACCAGAGAAATTAGCACCTGATCCATTCTTTTAACATTACCAAGCACAGTCTGGGAATGGGGTCTACGGTGGCCAAGCAGCCCATCCGGAGCATGAAGGAACGTGTAATGAGGGGGAGACAGTGCCTTATAACCGACAACAACATGAAGCAGAAACTGGTGAATGGTATAACAGGCACCGAAATCTGCTCTGGGACCTCCACAGGCCAATGATACTGAGCAAAACATTCAATACGTAATACAGGGATGCATCGTTAGGAGTTTTATAAGCGTTATTTTCTGTGATCCTCACAGCAACTTTAAAAGGCAGCCATGGCCCTGGCCAGGTGGCTTCAGTGTTAGAGCACCCTCCCATACACCTCCAGGCTGCTGGTTGGATTCCCCTCAGGGCACATATCTAAGATGCGGGTTCAGTCCCCCCATGGGGGCGATAGGGGAGGCAATCAATCTATGTTTCCCACATCATCTCTCTCTCTCTCTCTCTCCCTCTCTCTCTCTCTCTCTCTCTCTCTCTCTCTCTCTCTCTCTCTCCCCATAGGAACGGTAGGGGAGGCAATCAATCCATGTTTCTCACATTCTCCTCTCTCTCTCTCTCTCTCTCTCTCTCTCTCTCTCTCTCTCTCTCTCTCTCGTGTGTGTGTGTGTGTGTGTGTGTGTGTGTGTGTGTGTGTATGGAAATATGTCCTCGGGTAAGGATTTAAAAAAAAAAAAGAAAAGGTTGTCATCCGTCATCATCATCCCCATTTTTCCTATGAAGGGAGGCTTGAGCGGTAACATTCGCTCAAGGTCACAGCCGGTGCTAGCCACAGCGTGAGTGGCCAAAGGGGGTGACCCTCCAGCACCTCCCGCGACAGCTGGCTCTCCGCCTTCCTACCGACGATCCTCTCTGCCCCTCCCCACGCTGCACCGGGGCCAAGCGCAGGCCCAGGAGGAGGAGCGGGATCCGCGGTCCTCGGGCCGCAGCTCGCACACTCGCCCCGGGAGGGGTCCGCAGGGCGGCCGGGCCCGCGCGTCCCTTACCCGCGGTTGGGTCCTTTGGGCACGAACCAGGGCCCGGCGATGCCGATGAGGCCCCAGAACGTGGTGAAGATGATGACCGGGAGGGCGAAGGAGTGAGCCGTCATGGCGGGGCGCGGGACGCCCGGATCGGGGTGCTGGGTCGGCTGCAGATGCTCCCGGGTCCGGGCGGCTTAGTGGGCGTCCAAGCATGCGCACCAGGACCGGCCGCCGGCGGGAGCGCACGGGCAGGCCCAGCTGCGCAGGCGCGCGCGCATCCTTAGGGAGAGGGGCTGGGGAGATGGATGGGCTAAGGGCGGGCTTTCCCAGCAGCCAGATCTTAGCCTTGATCAGCTTCTCCAGTTCCTAGTTCTGGCTAAAATAATTTATAGGCCAGAGGCCTGCGTCTAAATGTTTGATTCAGAGGAAAACAGTGAGAATCAATCGTGGTTTTATAAACCTCATTTGCACATATTTGGAAAGAGAACATTCCTGGGCGGTCATCCTCTTCCCCTCAGCCCCCAACCCCAAGTCCTTGGCTGACAGACACCTGGATGAGGGAACTGGCCAATCTTCACACTGTCCTGCTAAACACTGAGCACCCCTGGGCTTGGAAGAGAAGCAATAGTCTGGTACGTCTTATGCTCTCTGATGTATCCCTTGGGCAGGGAGAGGGGCGGGGCAAGGCTGAGGTAGGATGGAAGAGAGAAAGGCCCTCTAAAGTGGGAGTTGTAGTTCTCCCCAACCTGGTCTCTATGGCTATCACCTACCTGTCAGTTATAATGCTGGCTGTTCAGATCAGTCATGGGGCGGTGGGTGGGTAGGTGAGGAATACCAGGATGGGTAGGTACATGGAGTTGCCATGAAGATTACACGTAGGTGAGGAGGCTGGCAGCTTGTCCAGGACCCTGGGCAAAGGCAGAGCACTTGCTCCTTCTATTCCCAATGCCCTTCAGCTTGGTTGCCTGTGAGGCAAAAATAGGAAGCTTCTCCAATGCAGGGATAGCCCTGGGGTCTGAGATGCAGCAGTTCTCTGGAAGTGAAATGAGCTGGCCAGGCAACAGGTCTCCAGTAACGGCCTAAAGGCGCTCACCACGTTCCAGCCCTGGGGCCCGCACTTCTGAGGGCTCCAGCTTTTTCACGGGCTGGCACTGGAAGCTTGCTCAGAGCACAGAGTGGCAAGGCAGGGCGTGTCCCTAGCGGGCCTCCACGTCAGCATCTAGACCTGCATCGGGAAGTAAGTGCATGGAACCAACCCCCAGGCAGGACTAAATCTCCCTCTGGGGATCCTCAGAGGCTGGAAGACACCACGGGGAAAGTCCTTGCAGGAAAGTCACCTCAATTTGGAATTGTATGGATAAAGTGGGAACTACAACCCCCACTGTAGAGGGCCTTTCTCTCTTCCATCCTACCAATTCACCCCACTGGGGCAGGAAGAGGGCAGGGCAGGGGACAGGCCTCCTGACAAGCCTTCTGGAAGCCTGCGGCTGTGACGTCAGAAGGGGGAAACCCCAGAGTCCCAGAAGGAGCCTGGACACTGAGGTCCCAGGAGCAGGGGCATTTCCCTGGTGCAGAAATCTTGTGGGAACCCACCCCCGGTATTCCCCCAGGCGGAGGGAGAGCTGAGGAGGCCCGAGGGCTTCAATTCCCAGTTGCATGGGGCAGGCCTGCAGGAAGCAGGGCTGGCTCCGAAGCCAGACAGGAGGGCAGCTGCCCGCAGGCAGGGGAGGCTGCAGCAGCCCCAGGCGCTGGAAGGTGACACCCAGCCCACAGCTGAGGCTGCAAGGGCTCCAGCCAAGGGGGCTCACTTTGGGGTGGAGCCTCAGGAGTGGCCCCCAGCCAGACACACACCTGAGCCGTCAATGGCATATCCCTGGGTTGCAGACTCCATCCCCAGTAGGGGGCGTGCAGGAGGCAGCCAATCAATGATTCTCTCTCATCGCTGATGTTCCTCTCTCTCTCTCTCTCTCTCTCTCTCTCTCTCTCTCTCTCTCTCTCTCTCTCTCTCCCTCCCTCCCTCCCTCCCTCCCTCCCTCCCTTCCTCCCTCCCTCCCTCCCTCCTTATTTCCCTCTTTCTCTCCCTCTTCCTCTCGCTTTCCTAAAAATATATTTTTTTAAAAATTAGCCTGCTGTGTTTGTTCAAACATTTAATTAACTCACCTCTAATGCCCTGGCAGGGCCAGACTAAATGACTTATGGGCCCTGTACAGCCACAGTCCCACCCTGCATGGTCACTTCTCCCTCAGCAGCCCTTCGAAGGGCCCTGCTCTGGGTAAGATTTGCCTACCCCCTACCCCGCCCTCCCCCCCCCCCCCCCCCGTTAGTCCCCCCTCACCTGCCAGGGAGGGGCGGCCACCTGGGCTGCCGGGGGAGGAGGAGCTCCGCCCATTCCGCCCACTGCGCTCTCCGAAGGGCACGGAGCCCACGTGCAGCCCCAGCGGCCGTCCTGGCACCCGCCATGGGCAGAAGGGAAGGGGTGAGAGAGCGCCCCCTGGATCATCCCGGGGGAGGGTTATGCTGAGCTGGAGACGACCTCCGGCCCCCAGTCTCCGGATGTGGCCCCTTCGCTCTGTCCTGCTGGGCAGCCAGCCGAGATCCCAACCCTCACTCACTTGTAGATGGACAGAGGCCTGCACGTCCACTCCGGGACAGGGCCAGCCGCCAGCCCAGGCGCCGGTAATGACAGAGGCTGGTGCAAGGCACCAGGTCCTCCTGACATGGGGTCACTTCCTCCTCCACCGGAATGGTCTCCACATGCTCACATGCCCAAGGATGGGGAAGGAGAGAGCCGCTGCCACTGCTCCTTGTCACCAAGAAGCCCTGTCCTGAGCTCCCATTTTTGAAAGAGCCAACTCCCAGGGAAGGCAGTGAACTGAGGAGGAGGCTGAGGGTGGGAGGAGGTCCGGCTGCTCTAGAGGGTCCCAGTCCTGGGGCAGGAGGAAAAGGACCTTAGTAGGGGGGTCCCTGGGGTGAGCGGCTTACCCATTAGTAAGTGCCCATGCCATCCCAAAGAGGAGGGCAGGGAGCAGCATGGTGCCTCCACAGGTCAAATTGGGGGGCTCTGAGGCTTGGGCTTATGGGATGCAGTGTGCAGCAGGTGAGCAGAGGGGCCAGGACTCACACACACACACACACACACACACACCCCGCACCTCCAGGGCAGTGGACTACAGCCCAGCCTCAGTGTGGCCAGCCAGCTTCAGAGCACTGGCGCTGGGAGGCTTTATCTCATCTCCATCCCCCAGGCACCAGCTGCTTGGAACCGGATTGGACCTGCCTGCACATCTCACAATCCCCTCAGAGGCTGCCTCTCCCTGGAAACAGTCCTCTTCCTGCCTCTGTCATGTGTGCGGTGTGTGGTGTGTGTGGTGTGGTGTGTGTGTGTGTGTGTGTGTGTGTGTGTATGTGTGTAATGGGGGGAGAAGGGGAATGCATGTGTCCCAAGCCACAGTCAAGCACTCTGAGCTTCTGATATTTCCACACTCTCAGGCCCTACCACAAATCAAATGAATTCTGACAAGCCACCCTCCTTCTCTAGGCCTTGATTTCCTCACCAGTAAGCACTCCAGGGGCCTCCCAGGGATATTCAGGTGGGACTCAGGGGCTGCATGAACGGTATGAAATTGTGTATGTGCGCACACGCGCGCGTGCCCATGCACACACATTTTTCTGAGGACATAACTTTTATTAGATTCCCAGGGGGGCCATGGCCCCACAAAATGTTTACAGAACCAAATGATAGATATGCCCTAAAATTCTGACTTCATGATTGTCTCCTGTTCCCTTTCCTGCCTCCTCCAGTGCCTCTCTCACCAGGAACTGTGGAAGTGAGGCTCAGTAGGCAGGTGGAGCCATTTCCAGGGAGGTTGGATGCTGTGGGGACAGAGGAACAACCTGTGCCCTCCCCTCTGTGGTCCCACTTCTTTTTTTAAAAAAAAAATATATATTTTATTGATTTTTTACAGAGAGGAAGAGAGGGAGAGAGAGCTAGAAACATTGATGAGAATCATCGATCAGCTGCCTCTTGCACACCCGGGTGTGTCCGCAACCAAGGTACACGCCCTTGACCAGAATCGAACCTGGGACCTTTCAGTCTGCAGGCCAATGCTCTATCCACTGAGCCAAACCGATTTCGGCTGTGGTCCCACTTCTCACTGGGAGTGATTCTGTATGGCTGCTTGGATCCACTTTAGTTTCCTTCTGAGTCTCCTAGGGTTCCTGAGGTCCAGAACCAGGAAGCCTGGACCAGGGGATGAGAGCAAGCCTCAGGGAGGAGTGCCTGGGGTGGAAAGTAGGGGAGGAGGGTGGCAGGAGACAGAGAGGCCCAGGGGCAAGGCAGCCGGATGGAATAAATCCAGCCTCCGTCTGGCTGGGAGGGGGCAGCAGCAGGTGTTCCAGGGGAATCCTGGTTGCATCCTGGTTACCAGCTCTGAGGACACCCAGGCTGGCATGTGGCCTCCACCCTCTAAACCTGATGCCCCTCATGCATTCCACATAGTCTCCACCCCACCCCCACTCCCCCACCCCCCGCTGCCCCCCACCTGGGGAACCAGAGCCTCACTAGGCATTTCTTCTGGGCCCACGGCTGGTCCTGGGACCAACAGAGGGTGCTGTGAGCTCCTCAGGGAGCTCCCCAAAGGAGTCCTCGGAAAGGACACTCTCCCAGTCTCTCTCTCTCTCTCTCTCTCTCTCTCTCTCACTCACACACACACACACACACACACACACACACACACACACACACACGGACACTCTCCCGCACACCTCACACTTCCACTGCAGGCCTCGCGGGGAGAGAGACACACAGTCCCACCCCCAGCACACAGGGACATGTTCTACTCCGCGGCCACGGCCAGGAGAAGCCCGTCCAGGAGGTAGAAAAGCCTTTCACAGACGATTCCTAGGAACACCCAGCTCCTCTTCCAGGTACCACCTGTTCCACCCAGTGTCTCTCCCTCCCGTCCTAAACGTCAGCAGATACTGATGGCACCCCGCCCGCCGTGTGCCCCTCGGGATGCGGTATGCCAGGGCTCCCTGCTCTGCCCTCCCAGGGCCATCCACCCAGCCCCAGCTCTGGATTCAACCACCGCAGATGCGGCAGCACTTGGACTGGGAGCAACTGGAGTCTTCGGCGCCCTTTCCCCTAACGGGGGCAGGAGGGAGGAAGCTGGGACGGGGAGATCGGAGGAAGAGATTGGGGAGAGGGGCCTGGAATAACCAGCCCACCAGTCAGCTCAGACAGGACATGGGCGCTCACAGGTGCCCGGCGGTGACGCGGGAGAGAAACATCTGACCCCGGACAGGGACGGGGAGAAGCCGGACTGGAGGGCCGAGAGCCACGGGCCTGGGAGAGCTTAGGGAGCTGTGGGAGAGCACCCCTCCCCGGCCAGGGCCCGCCCTCCCCAGCCCCTCACCTGGGCCCGCCCTCGGACCCCGCCCCTGGGCCCCTCCCTCCAGCCCCGCCTTCTTTCCAGGAACCGGACTCAGAGCCCCCACCCCATTCCTGTTCTTAGCAGACACGGGGGCGGCGGGGGGGGGGGGGGGGGGGGGGGAAGGCCGGCCTGGCTCCCCCGGCCTCGCCCCGCGGCCCACAGGGACCATCTTCAGACCTAGGACGCAGGGTGCGGGTCGGGGTTGAACCCGGTGGGGTCGGGGCTGAGAGCGGGGAGAGGAGGGGACCGCACCGACCCAGAGCGGAGGCTGGATCCCGCCACGGAGCCGTGGGGTAGATCCCCCGCCCCCGCGGGCACTCGCAACTCAACGAAAGCAGCGCGAACCCTGACCCCCCTCCCCGTCCCCCCACTCCTCACCCGCCCCAACCCCCGCCCCAGCTCCACCTTTCCCCTGGCTCCGCCCCGGCGCCCGGGCACCCTCCCCGGCAGCCCGAGCGCCCGTCCTCCCTCTCCTCTCCCTCCTCCCTCTCCCCTCCCCTCCCCTCCTCCCTCCTCCTCCTCACTCCCCCTCCCCTTCCCCTCCTCCTTCCCCTCCCTCTCTCCCCTTCCCCGCTCCGAAGCTCCCCATTCCCAGCACCCACTCCAGCCCAGTCCCTCCACCTTCACCTGCCGCCGCCGCTGCCCCCAGACCTCACTCCGGGACACCCCGCCCGCCCCCCGCCGGGGTCCCCCGCCCCCGCCCCCGCAGCGCCCTCGCCTCCTTCCCTGACGGCGGCGCCTCCCCCCCGCCCCCCCCAGTCTTTTCCTCTCCCCTCCCCTCCCCTCCCCGCCAAGTTTCGGGGCTGTCAGTCTGTCAGTCCGTCCGTCCGCACCGGAGCTGCGGGCAGCGGACGCCATTGGGAGCAGAGCCGTCCGGGACCGGAGGCCAGGACGCCGGGGTCCCGGCAGCAGCGGGGGCCCGGCCCGCGGGCCGCCAGGTACCAGCCCCGGAGGCGCTCCAAATCCCCCCTCCCCGCTCCCGCCCCCCGCGCCCCGCAGGTGACAGCCCGGTGGGGGCGCGGAGGGGTGGGGAGGGAATGGAAGGGCGGGGAGGGGGCTGGGGAGGACTTGTCGGGGAGTCCGGTGGTCCTGGGAAGGGACGGACCCTGAGAGAAGGCTGGGGCCAGGAGAGGGGCGGGGCGGGGCGGGTGGGGGGGGGCTCAGGTGGGCAGGGGTGCAGGGCTCCGAGGGGAGGGCGTGGGGAGGATCCTCAGAGGGAGAGGGAGGGAGGGAGGGGCGGGGGAGGAAAGCCCAGCTCCGGAATCGGGTTGGGGGGGGGGGGGAAGGAGGGAGCTGACAGGTGAGCCGGGGACTGGGGAGAAGTGGGGACGCGGAGGGAGGTGGGGTGCTGAGGCTCGGGGAGCGAGGGAAGCAGGGAGGTGGGACGGGAGGCAAACTTGGGGGGGCGGGTGGAGAAGTCCTCTGGTGCAGACGTGGGGAAGGGAGCCTCTGAAGGGAGGGGAGGGGAAGGGAGCGGAGGGGAGCCGGAGGTGGGCAGGGTGCGGCGCGCAGAGGGTCCGGAGTGAGTGGCCGGGGACGGGGGCTGGGGGCGGGGGGCACAGGGTGACTTGGGGGCTGGGCTGGGAGGGGGAGGGGGAGGGGAAGAGGGGGTCTGGGGAGGGAGGGGAAGCGAGAGCTGCTGGGGAGGCGGAGGGGGAGGGGAGCCAGGGGCCTCGGAAAGGAAGGAGAGCCGCGGGAGGGAGGGGAGGAGGGGAGGGAGAGGAGCGGGGCTGGGGAGAGGGGGAGGGGGCTGGGGAGACAGGGGGAGGGAGGGACCTGAGGTGAAGAGAGGGAAGGAGAAGGAAGGGAGACAGAGTGGGGGAGGAGAGGGGGGAGGAGGGGAGGCGGAGAGCTGCGGGGAAGGGCAGTGTGGGGAGGAAGGAAAGGGGAGGGGAGAGGAAGGGAGAGGGTGTGCACCGGGGAGGGGGATGGAGCGGGGAGAGCCGGAGGGGAGGGAACGGCGGCCGGGGGGAAGGGAGGGGGAGGGGAGGGGAGGGGAGGAGAGCACTGCGGAGCAGAGTGGAGGGTCGAGGGATGGAGGAGGGGCGGGGAGGGTGGGCCCGCAGGCTGTGTGCAGGGGGAGGAGCTGGAGGGGCGCGGCAGGGGGTGGAGCTGGGGAGCCAGCCAGATTCAGTGGGGAGAGAGGGCGGAAGGCAGAGGGAACCGGAGAAGGGAGGGAAGAGGGAAGGCTGCCAGAAAGATTTGGGGAGAGGGCAGTCTGCTGGGAGCGGAGGGGTGGAGCTGGGGACACTAGGGCGAGGTGGCCCTGGGGGAGGTAGGGGAACCCTGGGGGGGAGAGGCAATGGTTTGAGGTAGGGTTTTGGGAGAGGAAGCAAGAGCCATTTCCTGCCTTCACCGGGGCCCTCCTGGAGGGCCTCCGCGCCCCCCCCCCCAGCTGTCCGATGTGACACTCACCTCCGCCCCTCCGCTGGCACCCATTCCACCAGCTTCCACGGTGACAGCTGGAGGGCTAGGGGTGTGTTCCTGCTCCCCAGTCTGGTCTCCCACCATCCCCCCTCCACTTTCTACCCAGAGAATCCACTTGTCTCTGATACCCTCCTCCCGGGGCTGGATCGCTGAGGGGCTGAGGCTGGCCTTGAGAGACCCCCCAGGTGAGGGGGTGCTGTGACTTCTGGAACTGGCCAGAGCTTGCAGCCATGGCTTCAAGATCTTCTCCTTGGGCCCCCTGTAAAGATCTCTCTACTATCTGAAACCCACCTCCCCTCCTCCCCTCACCTGTACCTGGCTGGGGACATCACATGTGCAGCTCCTGGGGACAGCTGATGGGCAGAGCCAGGGCCCGATAGAAGCTGCCATGAGAAGGATGTTAGCAAGGGTGTGTTTTCTCCTTAGGGTGTGTGGCCTGAGCCCCAGAAGAAGCCACCTGGGGCTGCCATGAGAGAGACCTTGGAGGCCCTCAGCTCCCTGGGTGAGCCGGCAGAACCTGGGAGGGACCGGGGTTGGGGGTGGGGGTTCAGAAGCCTGCCGGGCTTGTTGCTTCTCTACAATAAAGAAAGGAGACGCATCCTCAGAGACTGCAACCCCAAGACTCCCGAGGCCCCTGGAACTTTAGGGCGTGTCCTTCTGGGTTTCTTCAGGGTGTCTGTGAATCCCTGCCTACGCCGGAGGTTGTGCTAGACTGTACGTGCACATGTGTGCTCACAGAGCATCAGGATGTTAAATCCACTGTATCCTTCCCTCAACTGCGCTTTACTCAACACCAAGGGGCTCAGGCTGACACCTGGCCAGACTGCTGGGAGCCCAGCTGTCCCTTGCCCATGCTGACTAGGGACCCTCCCTCTGGAGTGGGTTGGGGAAGGTCCCTCGGGTGGGCTGGGGGGAGTGGGGGGAGAAGAGCCTGCCTTTGGTCGCCTCTCTCTACTGGATGCTTACTTGGACCCATCCTTCTACCTGTGACAGGATTCTCTGTGGGACAGCCGGAGATGGCCCCCCAAAGCGAGCCTGGGGAAGGGTCCCAGAATGTCCAGGAGCAGATGGGCCCTTCCAGGGAAGACAGAGCGCTGGGCTCCTCTACATGTTCTGGTAAGTGGGGACCCGGGATGGTGGGGGGGGGGGGGGATCATCCTCCATCTTCCTTCATCACATACATATTGAGCACCTGCTTAATGCCAAGTGCCATTCTAGACATTTGGCATACCTCAGTGACCAAAGAGACAAAGACCCCTACCTTCCAGGAGCCTAATCCTAGTGAGGACAGGGAGTCCCACCAACGTAAAAACAAGTACACTTATAACCCTGTTAGGAGAGGATGTGTGCTAGGAGGGGATAAAGCAGAGAGGAGAGAACTGAGACTGCTATAGGTGGGTGAAGCAGAATAAGCCTAAATAGGGTGGTGAGAATAGGCCTCCTTGGGAAGCTAAAATTTGAGCAAGATTTGAAACAGGGAAGTGGCTAAACAGGTACCAAGAGAAGACACCTAAGAAAGGGTGTGTGTGCCCTGCTTTAAAAAAAAAAAAAATATATATATATATATATATATATATATATATATATATATATATATATATATAATTGATTTTTCACAGAGAAAAAGGAGAGGAATAGAGAGTCAGAAATATAGATGAGAGAGAAACATCAATCAGCTGCCTCCTGCACACCCCCACTGGGGATGTGCGCACAACCAAGGTACATGCTTTTGACCTGAATCAAACCCTGGACCTGCCGAGACTGGTTTGGCTCAATGGATAGAGCGTCCGCTTGGGGACTGAAAAGTCCGGGGTTCGATTCCGGTCAAGGGCATGTACCTTGGTTGCTGGCATATCCCCAGTAGGGGGTGTGCAAGAGGCGGCTGATCAATGACTCTCTCTCATCGATGTTTCTGGCTCTCTATCTCTCTCCCTTCCTCTCTGTACAAAATCAATAAAATATATTTTAAAAATATTAATAAAAACAAAACAAAACAAAAAACCCGGGGACCTTTCAGTCCGTAGGCCGAAGCTCTATCCACTGAGCCACACCGGTTTCGGCAATGCCTGGCTTTTTGACATCGCTATCATCTCCAATGATTTGCCATGGAGCAGGGTCCACCTGGTGGCAGGGAGGTCCCAGCTCTCCTCTGAGGAACCTCACGGAGCCTTAAGTAAGCTGAAGGGCAGGGCTTGTCCTTGCACACACACATATGTTCCAGAAACTCCTCACAGTTGTGGCTTTAGCCGCCATGCAGCGCCTAAGCAGCTGCCCCGCTTGAAGGAGCCTGAGGCTGCTCCGGGCCCGGGCCGCTGTGAACTCAGCCCCTGCAGGTGTGGGACAGGCTGGGTGCAGTCCCTGCCTATAGGGCTGGGCCTGGGGTTTCACACTCCCCTGCTTCCTCGCATGGGGGGGGGGGGGGCTCTCTGTTCAGCTGTGATGTCGGCAGTGGCTTGAATGGCTTGTTCTCTGCCAGGACACAAGGCCCCCAGCCTGGAGGAAGATGCCCACCCTGAACAGGCTGAGGCTCCCTGCAGAGGGAGCCAGGCACACACCCCACGGGAGGCTGAGCCTGTGGGCTCCTGCCCAGGTGAGTCTCCCATGTGCAGGGGACCAGGTGGAGGGCACAGGGGCCCTGCAAGCTCCAGAGCTGCTATCTGATGTGACAGCCACACCAGGCTCTTCCAACGCAAGATGAATCAGGCCCTGGCACTGCTCATAGGGCTTCCGCACCCAGAGGGAATTCTGCATCCATGGACAACAGGGATCAGAGAGGCCGATCCAAGAGAAACACACCATCATGTCAATGTATTCTGGAAGTCCTGACTTCCCCCATCTCTGCCCCAGTCTAAGTACAGACTTGTAGAGGGCCTGAATTATAATTTCCACGAAAACATATGGAGCGTTGATCAACTTTTTCATTGTCTCTGCCCAGACATGCTCCCTCCCCCACATCTCCACTGTTCTCAGTGGTACCCAGATGCTCCAAATCAGCTGTGTTTGACTCATCTTCCCCATACCCAGGGCGATGGGACAGTTGATTCTCTCTCTACAAGCCTGCTTCCACTAGCACCAACCTTATCATCATTTGCCCGAGTGATGTCATTTATTCCACAAGGATTTATTCCATGTCTACCAGGTCTAGGCTGTTAGGTAAAGTGGAAAGAGGCGAGCTCTAAAGCGATGCAGACCTGTTTGAATCCTTGTTCCACATCCCCTAGCTGAGTAATCTTGAATTGGCTCTCTCCCCTCCAGGAGCCTCAGTTTGTTCATCTGTAAGCAGGGTGATTTCATGTTTGTTGTGAAGGCTTGTAATCATGCATACATGGTACATCTATAATTGGCATTCAATAAATGGTGGCCATCCTCATTTTTATTACTCAGATAAAGACACATTTTTATTAGATACATAGGAAATAGAACACAAGGTGTCTGCCCTCCAGAAGCTTAAACCTAGTTGACATTAATATGAACTAATAGAATAAAGAATGAACATAATAGCCGAAACCAGTTTGGCTCAGTGGATAGAGCATCAGCCTGTGGACTGAAAGGTCCCAGGTTCGATTCCGGTCAAGGGCATGTACGTTGGTTACGGGTACATCCCCAGTAGGAGGTGTGCAAGAGGCAGCTGATCGGTGATTCTCTCTCATCAATGTTTCTAATTCTCTATCCCTCTCTCTTCCTCTCTGTAAAAAAAATCAATAATATATATATATTTTTTTAAAAAGAATGAACATAATAATATGTCACAATGAGCATTAACAGTAAGTGCTACAAGCATTTATATGGGATCCTCACGCAGTGGAGTTGTTGGAGATTTTGATTTGTGCTGCATTTTGTGCTGCATTCAGCTCCGATGAGGGTGGGTGGAGGATGGGAAAACATTCTAGACTGTGAAAAGACTTCAAGGCGAGAAAGTTAACGTGTGACTAGAGTTAGAGCAGACCAGCCTGGCTAAAGTAAAGGGCTTATGCCTGGGAGAAGAAAGTTGCACCTCAGATGCAGCTAGAACTTACTTTATCCCGTTAATAGGGAGCTACTGCTGGTTCTTGAGGAGAAGAGTGGCACAATAAAAAAGAAAGCAATATCACAACAGGAAAAACAGTTGTTTGGAATGGATGGGTCGATAAAAGAGATGGGGAATGAATGTAATTGTGACAGTCCATGTGTAATGTAACCAGGGCTCAGGCTATTACAGACTTTTATAGCGAGACAGGAACTCGGATCATCTGGTTCAATGGTTCTCAAACAAGAATCACTTTGGGAGCTTGAAAGAGAACAGATTCATGTGCTCTGCTCCCATCGATGCATTCTGTAAACTTTCCCCAAGAGATTACGATGTGGCACCAGGTTTAGGAACTATGAACTAGTCCAACCCTTCCACCCAAGCAAACGAACAAACTTAGCTCAAAGAGGTAAGTTAACCAGGGTTACATTGCTGGTTAATGGCAGAGGAGAACCCAAGGGGACACTGGGTCTTGGGCCTTCAGGTCCTTCCTCTCCACTGGGCCATTCCATTTCCCAAGAGGGGCCAAGCTCCAGGAAAACCCACCTCAAATCTGCTCCCCAAGAGACCCTCCTGACTCTCCAGACGTTAGCGCCATCCAGTGGTTCCCTGTACACACAAACCTCTTTCTAAACTGGGACTTCCCACTGGCTGTAGAAGCAAGAGTGAAGGGAGTTGCAGGGAAGGGGGCTTCAGAGACAGCAGGAAAGAATACAAAGTCCACTGAGGAAAGTCTGAGAGTAGGGGAAGCTCAAAGGTGAGAGTCAGGGTCTCAAGGTTCCGAGCCCAGCACTGGGGAGAAGGAAGCTGCAGTTCTCACAGCAAAGTAAGCAGGTAGGTCTGGAAAGAGGAGCTGTTTGGAGCTACAGCCAATTTTCAGGACTCAGGAGGGGAGCTGCTCAACCGAAGCTGAGCAACTGTGGTTCCAGAAAGGAGCCTGCCAAACAGGAAGATCTGGGGCCGCCGCCATGGGCATAGGAACCCAGAGTGACTCCTGAAGTCTGAACCTTGAACAGCATTCATGTTCAGAGGCAGAGAAAGTGCTCTTATCAGCGCTCTTATGGACATGGGCAAGCCTGGGAGAAAGCCCCCTGTCAGGCAGTGTGTGTGTGTGGGGGGGGGGGGGGCGGTTACCAGGCATCCTGTCTGCAGAGATGAGAAGCTATTCGGATTGGCCGTTCCCCAGTGGACAGAACAGAAGCCAGAATGCAGGGCTCCAGGAAGGGGTGGTCTCCTGGCAGGGGAACGTTGCATAAATACACGTGGGGCTTAACAGACTTGTCTTGTGACTTTTCAGGAGAGGCGTGGATGACTCGGAAGGTGAAGGTGGAGGAGGAGGACCAGGAGGCAGAGGCCAAAGTCCAATGGCCCCAGCATCTGTCCTTACTGCCCGGCGGCCCCTTTCCCGCACCTGACCTGGGGCCTCTGGCCGCCGCCGCCTACAAGCTGGAGCCGGGCATCCCGGGGGCCCTGGGCGGGCTTTCGCTGCTGGCCGGGTGGACTCCAGCCTCGGAGAAACCCTACGGCTGCACCGAGTGCGAGCGACGGTTCAGGGACCTGCTGACCCTGGGGCTGCACCAGAGGCTGCACCGCGGCGAGGGCCCGGCCGCCTGCCCGGACTGCGGCCGCAGCTTCACGCAGCGCGCGCACCTGCTGCTGCACCAGCGCAGCCACCGCGGCGAGCGGCCCTTCCCGTGCCCCGAGTGCGGCAAGCGCTTCGGCAAGAAGGCGCACCTCACCCGCCACCTGCGCACGCACACGGGTGAGCGGCCCTACCCGTGCGCCGAGTGCGGCAAGCGCTTCAGCCAGAAGATCCACCTGGGCTCGCACCAGAAGACGCACACGGGCGAGCGGCCCTTCCCCTGCGCCGAGTGCGGGAAGCGCTTCCGCAAGAAGACGCACCTGGTCCGCCACCAGCGCATCCACACGGGCGAGCGGCCCTACCGGTGCGCGCGCTGCGCCCGCGGCTTCACGCACAAGCAGCACCTGGCGCGGCACCAGAGGGTGCACGAGGCGGCCCGCCGCGCCCCGCTGGCTCCCGCCGAGGTGCCCGCCTCTCCGGGTTCCCCTCCCGCCCAGACCCGGGCCCCTTCCCCGCCGGGACCCGAGCCTTGCGGGCTAAGCTTCGGCTGGAAGAAGAACCTCGCTGCGCACCACCGTCTGCACGCCGGCGAGGGGCGCCCCTGTGGCTGTGGCGAGGGCGCGCCGGGCGGTGCCGCGGAACCCCCGGCTTGCGCTGCGGAACCCCCGGCCTGCGGGCATTGCTGCGCCCAGGCGCCCCAGGGCGATCCCGCCGCCGGCGGAGAGCGGTCCTTTTCCTGCCCGGATTGCGGACGGGGCTTCGCCCACGGGCAGCACCTGGCGCGGCATCGGAGGGTGCACACGGGCGAGCGCCCCTTCCCCTGCGCGCAGTGCGGCCGCCGCTTCGGCTCGCGGCCCAACCTGGTGGCCCATTGCAGGGCCCACAGCGGCGCCCGGCCCTTCGCCTGCGCGCAATGCGGCCGCCGCTTCAGCCGCAAGTCCCACCTGGGCCGCCACCAGGCGGTGCACACGGGCAGTCGGCCCCATTCGTGCACCGTCTGCGCCCGCAGCTTCAGCTCCAAGACCAACCTGGCCCGCCACCAGGCCATCCACACGGGCGCTCGCCCCTTCGCCTGCGCGCAGTGCGGCAAGAGCTTCAGCCGCAAGACGCACCTGGTGCGGCACCAGCGCGTCCACGGCGGCGAGGCGGCCCGCCTGGCCTCCGACGCCGGCCTCCCGGCCCCGGCCTGGCCCACGCCCACCGAGGTGGCAGCACCCCCACTGTTCTTCTGAGCCTCCTGCTTCTTATCCAGGCCCTTCCGTGGCCTTCTCTTGCTTCCTGGTTGGAGAGACCCAAGTCCAGTCGGGTGAGCACTGTGGCAGGATGGCCTAGGCCCCTGCGGGCGTTTTTCTTCCCTCCCCATCTTGCTGGTGAGACGGCTGGAAAGGAGGACCGGCTTTCACATTCTGTGACAAAGACAGTGCTGAGCGAACCCTTGCTGGGAATAATTCCTGCCTGAATCCTCGGAAGGCCCCACCCAGGGAACCCCTGGAAAACTGGAGTTTTCTCCACCCCTGGCCGAGGCGGGAGCCTCTATAGGGGGAGAGAGAGAATGGTGATCTGAGTACTTGCAGTGTCATTAAACTTAAATCTGAAGTTTCTAGAGCTTTTAAATGAGCTGGGGGAGGGAACCCCTGACTAATCCGCACACAGAGGATCTTCCTTCACTCACCCTAGTGAGCTCCACGTATCCAGCTGCTGGTAATCGCTCTACCAAATCAAAATATAGCACAGCTAATTTCCAAACCACTCCCCTGCTTCTACCGTAGCTCAGAAGTTTGACAAGGAAGCAACAGCATACATTTCCCATGCCAGGTGCTGGAGGCTGGGACATGGGGAATACACAGAAGGGGCAGGAGCCCTTTGGCCGGGCTGTTCCCATGGAGACACGTAACCCTGGCCTCTGGAGCTCTGGAACTTCTGCTCTGTCTGCAGCTCTCCAAGGGGCTCTCAGAAAGGCAGTCCCACCTTCCACCCTGCCTGGCCCCATGAGGAAGGACCTTAATGGTATATGAAATTTCTTTTCCATCATACTTTTTAAAAATATGTATTTTATTGATTTTTTTGCAGAGAGAGAGGAATAGAATCAGAAACATTGATGAGAGAGAATCATTGATCAGCTGCTCTTGCACGCCCCCCACTGGGGATGTGCCCGCAACCAAGGTACAATGCCCTTGACCGGAATCGAACCTGGGACCTTTGAGTCTGCAGGCCGACGCTCTATCCACTGAGCCAAACTGGTTTTAGCTTTCCCATCATACTTTTAAGTTCTGTCTTTATCCAGACGTCTCTGTAGCTGTGCCTCCCCAGCCAGGCAGCTCGGAGAGCCAGCTGACTGTCAGTAAAGGGAAGGGGTGGGGTGATGGGAACAAGATGAACCTGCAGTGAGGAGTCTTGGGTTTGACCCCTCCTGTGCCTCTTGTAGACTCGGAGCAGCACATTCATTGTCCTGGGCCTCTGCTTTCTCATTGCAATAAGATGACTGATGTTGATGAGGGGCAAGGGAGAAGGAAAGGGGGGGTTGAATGCATCGAGTTTTAAGTTTCCTGGCCACGTGTAGGAGCAGGTGGTCACAGTAGATATGACAGCGTGGCTACAAACAGGGGCCACTGTGTTGCCACAGCAGCATTTTACATACTTGGATATTTCACATAAAAATCTGGACTTCCAGCTTCTCTCACGAGAAGTCAGAAGATCCAGCAGCTCATGACCGGGGCTGACCAGAAATTGGCCTCATTCAACCAAGGGACACTGACCCCCACTGGGAGGGGGCTTCCAGCCCTCACCCGCCACTCCCTCCCCTGAGGTCCCCACCTCCCTGTCGTCCCTCTCCCTGTCCCACTCATTACAGTGAACTTCTGGTACCTGATGAAGGTGCATGGGCCCACCTGGGGCTCCAGGCACAGCAATGACACTGTGTGTGTCAATTTGGAATTAAATAAATACATGTGATGCTGCCAGGTGTGGGTCGATGCAGAAGCTCTTTGTGGTAAGTAGAGAGAAAATTTGAAGGGAAACAGCAGGAAAGGCCCATTGTTTGTTCTACAGTTTTGACAACAAGAATGGTTCACAACACATTAGAATCTCCTGGAAATGTAAAAATATACCAATAGACATGTGCACTTTTCTGTATATTTGTTATAGTTCAACGAAGAGTTTATATATGTCTAGATAGGTAGATATAAAGATGGGTGGATGAATGGATAGATATAGACGGATGGCAGACGCCAATGCTCTCCACTCCAATTGGATTAGAATCTGCATAAATGGGGCCCGAACCTCATTTTCAAAACTTGCCCCAAGTGATTCCAATGTGCACCCAGGGATGAGGACCACGGCTCTAGGGTCTGGTCCATCCTGAAAGTCCAGGTTCAGGTTACCACCCAGCCAGAAACATTTAAAATGGAAAGGATGGAGTGTCTGAGGACATGCTGGGCAGACCAGGATGCTCCCAAATAAGAAAGAACAGTTTTCTAACTTCCTTCCTGTAGTAATGTCTGGGCAGCCTATTAACTTAACCCAAGAGAAACAGGCACAGCGCTGAGCCCCAGAGGTCAATGCACACAGTTTCAATGAGACTCCAAGGGTTCTATGAACACTTGGGAAATCTCAGTACCTTTATCCAAACAGCCTCACTCACTCTTTGGTGTCTCAAACCCAAATAAATGCACCATTCATTCAGATACTCAGTTCATACTTCTTGGAAGCCCCTCTGTGCCTGACCCAGTGTTTGGTGCACAGATACAATATGTATCTGCCCTTACTCAGAGCTTACAAGTGATTGTTGCAGGTAAGTACAATTAAAAATAATTTTTTTTTCTGCCTCAAACTGCACACCCTACTCTGAGGATGCAGCTCTCAGTGTCCTCTTGCTCTGCGTGTTTAAGGGTTTCACTTTGCTCTGAAGCCAACTGCCCCATCCTAAGTGCAGTTCAACCCCCCCCCCCCCCAGGCGTCTTCAAACTACGGCCCTCGGGCCACATGCGGTCCGCAGAGGAGTCTGATCCGGCCCGCCAGGTTTTTTGGGCAGTGAGCGCAGCCGAGGTGTTATAGTAGGAATTAGTAGTTCATATAGTCCGGCCCTCCAGCTTTCTCAGGGACCGTGATCTGGCCCCCACTTTAAAAAGTTTGAGGACCCCTGCCCTATAGGCTGTGTGACCTGGAGCAAGCTTATCATCCTCTCTGTGCTTCACTTTCCTATTTGTAAAATAAGAATTATAATAGTATTAACATTTACCTTAACTGTTATGAGAAATAAGGAGTAAAAGAAACTATTAAAAAGTGTTCAATAGTTTTCTCTATATAAATATTTTGATTTATTCCTAGATTATTGAATATTTTTACCATAAATGACAGTTATACATTTTTATTTAAAATTTTCTTATTTTGATAGATTACAGATTCCTTTCAGCTGTCTTATGTGTATGGTCATACCAGTTGTAGTGATTTCTTTCCTCCTTCTTTTGGATTTTCATGCCTTTAAGTTCTTTACACATTGAGGCCAGCAGAGGGAAATGGAATGTATAAAAACAAACAAAACCAACCTACAGCATTGTCGACACAATAGAAGGCAGAAACAAAGGGGGAAATCTCCAGAACAAGTGGGACAAACATGAGAAAATAATGGCATATTCAAATGTTAGAAATTTTATTACAGTTAAATGGATCCAGGGCTCCACTGAAGGAACAAGGAACTTGTCAAGTTGGATTAAAAAATAAAATCCGACTATAGGCTGTTTACAGAAGCCACATCTAAAACACAAAGACATACACAGTTGAACCAAGTCTAGTCTGCCACTGAACCAAGCTCCTTATGGAGGCAGCAATGACATGGAGCATCACAGGCAGAAGACTGTGGCACCCTCCCACCCTCACTGCAGCTTCTCTTCCATGGCCCCCCTCTGGGCTAGCCTGGAGCCCCTGGGGGTCCCACACTGATTCCGACAGGTTGAAATAGGACCTTCCCTTTCCTGCCTTACGGTGGACTCATGCTGGCAAGTGGCTGATGGAACAAGGATGGAGGGAAGTTCAAACCCAGGTCAGCCAGGAGCCATCCTCCAGGCTACTTGCCAGGATGGTGACAGGTCAAGCAAGAGCCTTCTATGCTCCCCACCTCCAGACCTATGGAATTCCTGAGTTAAAAAAGGCCCCCCAGTTTCTCCCACCAAAGTGACATTTCCCCATAAAGTAGGTGGAAAGTGTTGAACACACTCCCAAATCCTGAACTGTGCACAGATTTTTCACCAACGTAGATTCTAGGCTTTCAGTGAACTGAAAGGTTCTGGGAAGGCAGAGGACCTGTGGGACAAATGTAACTGCAGATGATGAAGCATCTTACCATTCACTTTATTACTTCTTTTCCACACATACAAAAATATTTGAACTTCCTGTAGGTTCTGATTGGACATGGACCACCTAGACTGGTCTGGGGACAAGTATTCTTCTCGGCCAAGCTCACTTGTCCCAGGACTGATACAAATCAGTCAACCACGCCCTGGTGTGGACCACCCAGCCCCTTTCTGTAGGCACCAAGGGCCTTTCCCTTAGCAATTAACTTTGTAATTTTAGAATCTAACTTAGACCAAGAAGTGGCATTCTCTCCAAATGAAATCTCTGCCTATTTAGCAGGAAAGGGAGAGCCACTGAGTGCGGGAAGGATAGCCACTTGGAGCTCCCCAGGCACATGTGCTGTGCACAGGTGCATATGCCACCATCTGCCTGTGAGCTGTGGCAGTTATGATGGCAAAGACGGGAGGGAGCAACATCTGAATGAACCTGAGCCAAGGACAGAGGCTGAGGAATGCATCCCAAGCAATAGCCCCCCACCCCCACCCCGAGCAAACATATCCTGGAGTCTGGGGCAGTCAAGCCAAGAGAGATGCCTAGCTCTTCACAGCCCAGAGATGGGGAAAGTTTGGTTTGAAAGATGTGCAGGGGCTGACTGGTCCCTAGGAGAGGCAGCCAGGGGCAGGGCATCCTCAGGGCGGAGCTGATGAAGGTGGTTAGAGGCCTCCCACCTCGGGTCCCTATGTTCTCCACCGTCCCAGAGTTCCTCCTCAAGGCCTCTCTGGACTCCCACCAATAAGCTGTTTGGGTCCTTGGGCCAGTTTCGGGGCCCAGTGGGAGCAGCTGCTGCAGCTGGTGGCTCTGCGTCTGCACTGGTGGCAGGAGAGGCCATCTGTGGGGGGAAGGCAGCAGGCACTGAAGGGGCGGGGGGAGTCTGGGGGCCCCCAATGTGTCCAAGCCGGGGGTGCACAGTGAGCACAGCATGGCTGCATGCTGAGGATGGTGGGTGCTGGGAAGGGCTGGAGCTGGTTCCAGAAGGTTCTGCCTGGGGGGCGCCTGGGGGCAGCTGAGGCACCAGGTGGAGCGTCCCAAGGGAGAGGCCTGAGGCCTCGCCAGCCCTGCAGCCTTCCGTCTGGCCACGGAGGATCTTTGGCTTTGGCCTGGCAGGGCCCTTCTGTCTCCAGTAGAGCAGGCGTCGGCGAGCAGGGCCATGAGCCCAGTGAGGTCTCCGGGGGAGGGCCCACCGCCAGGAAGCCTGGCCCTTTGCTCCAGGGCCCCTAGGGCACCTTCCTAGCCGATCCACTTGGGTCCTCATGGTGGCCACTTCCTGAGACAGGCCTGCCAGGGCCGAGGCGAGCTGATCCAGCTTCTCCGAGAGGGTGGCGCTGAGGCTGCGGAGCTCCTGCTGCAGAGAACTCCCACAGGGACACGGCGGCCGTGGGGAGGCAGGTGGCACAGCAGGCGGGTCCGGGGCCAGGGGAGGCGGTGCAGGCAGGCCTCGGGTAAGTGGCCTCCCCTCGGTCCCGGCTGAAACCAGAGCAGGAATGCAGAGTGAGAGTTCTCAGGCTATCAGAACCTCTCTCTCCCGCTAGCCGTCCCCTAGACCAGTGTATGCAGCATCCTGCCCCACTACGGCCTGGCTTTAGATGGAAGGAAGTGACGCAGGCTTGAGAACATCGATGACAATGTTCGTAACATCAGCAGGGGCCACATCCCCAGGCTGATTCCCAAATCATGAACAGGACAAATCACAGGTTGGGTCTCCATGGTAACTAAGATTCCTTAGGACACAGGACTTTGTAGGAAAAGGATCAACAGGCTCTTGTGCCATCTTTGGGACCAAATGGCCCTTTGGGCGTGGCATTTCAAATACTAAAATGAAATAACCATGCCCTACGGAGTCCGAGGCAAAGGCCTGGAGGAGCCTCAGCAGACAGACAAGGCCACAGGCAGCATGTGGAAGAGGGCCCAGGAGAGTCAATCCAACCTGGGACCTGGTGCTTCCAGTGGGGTGACCAAGGACCCGCGTCAGTCAGTACCCAGTGTGAATGGTCATAGCAAACCACCAGGGGTCCCCCAATCCCAACTGTTGTCTTTCATATTCACAAGTTACAGATTCAGAAGGTCTGAAGTCCCCCCCCCCCCGCCCCCCGCCCTGTTACCTGCTGTTCCCCAGCCCCCTGAGCCCTATCCTGGCTCCTTCCTCTTATCAGCACCTCCAGGGCTTCAATCAGAGGAAAGAGTGAAGCTGGAGTGACTGTAGGACCCATCGCCCCAGCAATGGAACCACCATGGGCCACACTTCCAGTCTGGTGTGAGGCTCTCCGTGCAAATCCTAGAATCAGGAAATGCAGCCCATATCTTAACATGGTGAGGGAGGCGCCTCCTCTGGGCCAGGTGTGATCTGGAACCACATCTGCTCTCTCTCAGGATGCCCATGGCCAGATCACACAGTGTGACTAGGCCTGCTTCCTCATCTATTCTGAGTGTATCCATTCTTGATTTCTGTTTTGCCTCTGAAAGGTATCTATGCTTTTATGAAAACGCCAGTTATTTCTGTAAGGAAATACTAAAATGAAATAAGCAACCTGAAGTGAGTTCAAGGTGAGACTCTTCCTACCTGTGACCCAAACCATCATGGAATAGTGTTAAGAAAACTTCCCCCACTGTGATCCTGCAGGAAGGAGCTGAGCAGCAGGAAGGGGCTGGGTGGCTGTACAGATGCTGACCCATGCCCACCCCTCTGCCCGGGGTTCCTGACAACTTGAGGGGATGGGAGGCCACCATTTCACCTGTAACACTTGGTCCTCTGTGTCCAGGCACCAGGCCCCTGGATTCTTCACTAACCCTGAGCTTCCAGGACAGGGGCTGAGGGGGTGACCCAGGAGTCTGGCAGGGCCCCGGCCCGGGCCTTTTCTCTGGCCGAGGGGCAGGGCAGGTACTCTCAGCTGCCCCTGCAGAAAGAGCACAAAACACTTGGGGTGTGCACATGTATCATTTTGACAGGGCCATTCTAACATGGGAATATTTGGACATGACTTAAAAAAATCAAGCTTTCAACTCTCAAATATTGATGAAATGAGATGCAAGATGGGCACAGTTGGCCCACAGGGAGCCTAACTCTGGTGTAATGGCTTGCTGGGGCCTTTGTGACTGGAGCTGGGAACCAGACTGCCTGGGGTCCTCTGCTGCTTGGGCATGACACCTCTGGCTCCACCACGGGGTGGGGGCTGGGGAGAGCAGGTGAAACAACATGATCTGCAGGTCCCACCACCAGTGAGACTCCACCAAGAACATGCTGGGGGCACCCTGTGGGCCGTAGGAGACTATGGTCCACGCCCAGCCCACTGTGCTCTTTCCCACCAACCCTACCGGGCAGTGAGGAATGTGGGGACAGCCTGAGCTGAGAAAGGCCAAAGACTTCCTGGGGCCACTCAGCGTTCTCCTCCCCTCCCGCCCCCGTGCCTGCCCCAACCAATCACCCACCCGTACCTCCTTGGGTGCTGCCCAGGGGGCTAGGCCGGCCCAGGGTCTCCAGGCACACTTCTGTCCGGGGAACCTGAGGCCTGCCTCCCGTCTTCTCCTCCGCGTTTCCTGCTGGTCAAACATGAGTTCAGGCTTGGACTGAGAAGCGTGGTGGCCTGGGGTAGCAGGCAGTGTTCCCAGCTTTCCTGGCAGGACAACCTCAAAATTCTCCCAGGTGGAATCTCACTTTTGACACTTTTATGCTTATTGCCAAATTTTAAAAATGCTTATTATTTACGTGTCGTGTAAGACCCTGACATTAAGCTTTGGATGGCGGAGGCATCCATTTCAGAAGACATCCATCTTACATAAACATACCGGGAGGGGTGTGACAGCTCCTAGCCAACAACCAGGTGAGCAGCCAGGCTGCCCCCCCCCAGGAAGGTCCCTCTTTCTGAAAGTCCTGGGTGACCTAGACAACTGACCATCTGAGAGACCCTGCTTCTCCCTTCTTGTGTCCTGATTCCCACTCTCAGGTTTCAAATTAGCCAACGAAGAGTGAACCCACCAAACCCTAGACGCCCACCACGACAGTGACCAAGACAGAGCACCAGGCCCTCGTGCTCTTTCCTCTCTCCTGTGACCTGTGAGTGATAAGTCCTGCTCCTTAAAGTTCTCGGATGGTTTTGCTGAAGTGTGTCCTGTGATCGTAAGAAGCCAGAACACTAGCCCACGTGGAGGAATGACGTTGGGGCTTGTACTGAGAAATAAGGCTGGGTGAGCTCCTCAGGCATTCCTAGTGAGAATATCACTATCCACAGGCTGGGCCCACACAACAGCATGTGTGTGTATGCGTGTGTGTGTGTGTGTGTGTGTGTGTGTCCAAACATTAAGTGTATACAATACATACATATTATATATATAAAACACTAGAGGCCCTGTGCACAAATTTGTGCACGGGGGTGGGGAGGAGGGACCACAAGAGGCTGGCCACAGGCTCCAAGGAGGGCGCCAGCCCTCGACCCCCCTGGGAAAGGGGCTGCATCTGCTGCCACCCACCCCAGTTCCTCGTCCCAGCCCAGGGTGGGTCGGGAGAGGAGACAATAGTCACCAGATGCTGACACCTACGCTGCCCCACGACCATGCGGTTCCCTGCCTTCCATTTCCCCCCTCCTCCTTCCCTTGCTGCCACCACTGTGGGCAAATGGCCCCTGGGGAAGGGAGAGGACGGATGGGAGTGAGACTGACTTTCAATAGATTGCAGAGGGAGCTGCTCTGCTACTATGAAACCTCAACCCAGAAGCAGGTTGTTGGAATGGTTTAGCACCAGGGGCAGATACTAAACCATGGGGGAGGAGGGGAGAAAGAAAGACCCGGGGGCAATTGGCCTCGCAGGAGGTTAGCTGTGGAAGTGCACTGACCACCAGGGGGCAGCTCCTGCATTGAGCGTCTGCCCCTGGTGGTCAGAGTGCATCATAGCAACTGGTGGACCAGTCATTCCTGTCATAACAGTCACTTACGCTTTTATACATACAGATTATAACATATATATTAAGCTCATTGCTAGGTTTTCTAATCAAACACACTCATTTAACACTCCTGGAACCCTGAGTGCCTCAATAGCCCCACCTCTCTCTCCAATACAGCTCAGCTTACAGGAAACTCAAGCATGACAAAAGTAGAGAATTTTCTGGCAGGAGTCAGACGAAGTGACAGGTGGGACTCAGACAACCCAGCCTCTGGACGGAGATCCTCCTGGGGATATGGCCCACTCAGGAGACCCCAGGCTCACCTGTCCTGAGACCAAAGTGGTCCCTGGGCTCTGTTCTCCTTGGGCCTTCACCGGGGCTTGGGGTCGGAGGGCCAGGACTCTTGTTGCTGGGTAGAGGGTCCTTCTCTGCATCACAAAGCTGGTATCAAGGTGGGGGTCCCAGCCTGGAGCATAGCTTCCTGTCTCCCTCTCCCCCACAAGCTTACCCTGCAGGAGAGGCTGCCAAAGCTCAGGCTCCATCTTTGGGTCTTCCCCTTCTGAGCTGCTGAGGCTGGAGCTGGAGCTGGAGCCAGTGACGGTGCCGGGGCCAGGACCGGGGCTGGGACTAGGGCTGAGGCCGGGGCCAGGGCGGGCCAAGCATGTGAAGCGCAGTGGCCTCCCAGGCAAGATCCCCTTCAGAGAGTTCTCCAGGCAGTGAAGAGGGGAGGGCGTGGTGGTTGCTCCTGGGCAAATGACAGAAGAACCTTCTGTCCATCAGCTTGGCAGGTAGGAGGACCCCCTGCCTGAATGCACATAACTCAGTCAGTGGCCCCAGACAAGCTCCGGTGGACCTGAACATCCTCTCTGCCATGACGTTGGACAGGAGTGAAACCAAAGCCTGGCTAGGCCCCCAACCCCTGTGGAAATCCAGCTGGGGAACTTTCTGGAAGACACAAGTCACCGAAGCTACTAGTTCCAGCCAGGCCCCGGTCCTCTTGCTCCACTCCCTCAGGACCGGCGTCCAACAGCAGAGACTCAGTCAAGCTCACAGGAGGCCCCCAAAACCAGCTCTTGCCTGATGGGAGTGTTAGACACACCATATTTATTCCAACAAGTCACGCCTACCAGCGCTTCGGCAGAACAGAATTCTGCTGCCAGTTAAACTAAGTGGCCACAGCAGCAGTGGGAGCCCCCTGCACTCACCCACGTGCTCAGGTGGCAGCCTGGGGAATGAATGGGTGTCTGACAGGGAAGGAACAGAGGAACAGAGAGGGAAGGGAAATCTATTTCCTCATCAAAGACTTTGTTTGGAGCAAAAACATCCCAGGAAGTGCCGAGGGCAGATGTCAGCTCACCGTCCTGGAGCCACCTCCATGGTCCTGGCCTGGCGGCCACATGGTCTTTGAGCCCTCGCTGGCAGCAGGCAGGGACACGGCTAGGGGTGAGTGCCTGTGGGCTGGCTGGCTGCAGGCTCCTGGTGGGCACGTCCCCCCTGAGGTGGACTGGTTCACACGCCTCTCTCCTCAGGCCTGTTTTGATGAGAGGCCCAGCAGCCTGTCTGCCCCAGGGCTCTGTGTGGCACCAAGGAAAGGAAGTTAGTGGACAGAAAACGGTCATCGCTGTGTTCTCAGGCACATGTGCTCCAGGTGTGGAACCCTCACCAGCCCTGCCGATGTCCCAGGGCACCTACATCCTCTGGGATCTCTTCAGACCTAGCCACACGGACTCCTGCCAACCCACAGCCCAGTGACTATGCCGGACACCAAGCACACGGGGCCGGAACAGCTGCAATCGAAAGACACTCCTCCACGGCCAAGGCCGGCTCAGGCCTGAACTCGGCAGCAGAGGGCCCTGCCCCGGCTGCACCTGCCATGCAGAGGCAGGCAGTGCTCTCTGGCTTTCTGGCCTCACATTAGCCTCTGCCCAGGTCATTTCCAGAGAGTCTTTTCTTTTTAAAAAAAAATACTTTTATTGACTTCAGAGAGGAAGGGAGAGTGGGGGGAGAGAGAGAAACATCAGTGATAAGAGAGAATCATTGAAAGGCTGCCTCTTGCATGCTTCCTACTGGGGATCAAGCTTGCAATCTAGGCATGTGCCCTTGACCGAGATCAAACCCAGGACCCTTCACTCCGCAGGCTGATGCTTTATCCACTGAGCCAAACTGGCTAGTGCCAGCGTGTCTTTTCATCTCAGGGGTGGATGTGGCCCTTTTCCTACACCTAGGTCCCCTGACAACCATGCTTTACCTTCCTTGTCTGCCATCCAGTTCTTGGGCTCCACTCTCTGTGGTTCTCTGTCCCCTGCCGAGGACCAGGACCAGGTAGGCTGTGACCTGGGCACAGGTATCTCTCTGAGACAATTCTCCAGGCCCTGGAGTGGGGCGCTACGGACTGGAATTCCTGTGAAAAGCCAACATCTGTAGTTGTCAGACAGTCAGAGCTCAGTCTCTGCAAACCCCAGGGACCTTGCCTGCACCCTGTATTCAAGGCGGCTGAGCCCAGGGGAGGAGGCACAGAGCACTGGACCTGTCATGGCAGTGCAGGGTACCTGCCCTGAGACCTGGCCCCAAACCTGTGTCAGTCCAGGCTCTGGGCGGCCCTGCTCAGGGAGGACCTTCTTGGAAGTCAGGTCAGTGGGCTGTGGTAAGGGCACCCCAGTCTGCTGCCAGCATGGGCACAGGGGCCTGACTAGGATATGGTGGACACCACAGTTGGCTGGGACACCTCCTACCCTTCCCCGGGGTTGATTGCAAGCCTTAGGCCAGCCAGCTCACCTCTTCCAGGCCTACGTCCCTGGCTGCCCTCAGAGACCTGGAAATCCAGGTCCCCGTCGGTACTGCTGGATGAGGAGAAGCTGGTGGGGGTGCTGTGGGGACCTGGGGCGAGGGCAGGGCAATCTCTGACGAAGCCCTGCAGGCCCAGAGCCGGGAGAGGCCCCGCAGTCAGTCCTGCAGGAAACAGCACAGCTGGCATCACGGGAAAGCCACTCGGAAGAGGTCCCGGGGCCTGAGCTGTGGGAAGACGCCCGGGAGCCCTGTCCCAAGGATCTTCCGCTGGGGTCTCTCTCTGGGCAGCGAGCTCACAGCACTGATTAGAATACCACAGCATGTTAGCCCACATGACCCCAGCCACTGGTCTCCTGGGGCTGGAGTAAGAAAGAGCTCTCAGAGAAGGCAGTGGGCGGGAACAGGGTAAACTGACTTCCATCCAATTCAGGAGCTGTTTGGGGCCAGGCATGAAAGGGGGTGGGGTGGGTGGGAGGGGAGAAGGGCTTGCACTTTACGAGACCCAGAGAGGAGAACATAACAGTGTCCTCAGCAGCCCCCACCCCCAGCCCCCACCGCCATCCCCAGGGCATGGCCAAGTCTACCTTGACTGTGTGATCCTCGGGGGTTCAGCTCAGGCCTCTGAGACCCGGGGTCTCCCGGATGGGGGCTCTGGAACCAAGAGGTGGCCGGCGGCGGCGGCTGGGGAGGTAACGACCCACTCAGGGGAATGCCCTTCAGACAGGCCTCCAGGGCTTCCAGAGGTGAGCTCGAGGCACTGCTGGCTGGGACAGGGGAGATGGCCCTATCACCAACTCTGGCAGGGCCCCTGGCCTGGCCCCAGGCAGGCTGCCCCGCCCACTTCTGCTGGGGTGAGAAGTCCAGCACAGGGTATGGAAGCCTGCCAGGCAGGACACCCTCCGGTGGGGGATTTAGATCTGCTCTGTTCACACAAGGAATGACAGACTGCCCCCCCAGGCTCTGGGGCAGGGGGTAAGCCCACATGTATGAGTAGCCAGCTCCCTGACAGTCAGGCAATCTCTGCAAGTGAAGGTCCTTAAAAGGGAGGGCTCCTGGGCAAGGCTGGATTAAGGAGGGAGTGGGTGAGAGAAGGCATTGATTGCTTGGGGACAGTGGGCTCTTCCCCTGTGGACGGGCATAACTTTATTGGGGGCTGAGAACCCCATCAGGACTCAAGCCAAGGACCCAGGCCTCACCTTGCGCTGTGGGGCCCCATCTGAGTATCTGGTCCCCACTGGTGTCTCCATCACCCCCGGGACTGCTGGTGGCAGACGGTCTGTGGGTCCGCTTGCGGAGCCGACAGGATGCAGGCACTGGGGGGCTCTGGGCCCAGCCATCCTCCATCTTCTCCATCTTCACAGAGAGCACATGGCCAGCGCCGGCACCAGAGCAGGAAGGCAGAGTCTGGAGGGGTTTAGGCCCTGCGGGAAGCCCTCCATGAGGCCTCATGAGTTAGGACAGGACTTCCAAGGCCCCTGGCCTCCACAGCAGTCTCCCCGCTGAGATTGTCACACTCAATCACCAGCAGATGGACCAACTCACACTTCTTGTCCTGCCACCAGCCGCCCCTAACCCCCCAGAAGTTTCCAGAGGAGCCAGGTCAGTTCTCCTCAGGAAGCACCTATCAGAGCCTGTCCTCCCAGGCTAGCACACCTGTGTCAATTAGACTTTCTCAACATCCTGAGAAGCCGCTGAGCACAGGAGAGCTGAGAGTGTGGAAATACTATCCCAGCCTGCAAGGACATGATAAGAACCTCACCTCCAAATTATGCCCCAAATGTCTGCTGGGCTGAGCTCTGCCTCTGTTCTCAGTCTCCCTCCCCTACACCATCCCTTCCTTCCTTCTGGAATTCCTGGCTCCTACTCTAAGAGCCGACCTGGACTGATGAAGCACCTCCTGCAGGACCAGCTCCATTTATGGTGACAAGCCCCAGCATCTGGGCATTCCCATCAACACACAGAAGCATGGCCCGAGTGTCTTCCTACGGAGGGTCACCCAAGGCCCTGCCTAGAGCAGAGGAAGGAATGGATGATGCCCAAGGCCCTCCCAGCCCAGCCGGTGCCTTTACCTCCAGAATTCCTCTTCCAGGCCCCCGGATCCCCCTGCAGCTGTGGTTCCCCGGCTCCCGAAGGGCTGGGGTGCATGTCCTGGGCCACTGGGATCTCCTTCAGACACTTCAGCAGCCCCTGGAGGGGACAATCCCCGGACACAGGCTCTGTTTTCACTACAGGAAAAAGCAGCATATTTCCACCCTGAGCCCAGTGTCCTCAGTCTTTGTGGAAACAATAGGTAGACAACCCAGGTAAGCAGGTAAAAGAGTTCAGGGCCAGAAATCTGGAGGTATGGGTCATCTGTAACTCATTTGGTCTTGCACAGGCCACTGTCGTCTTAGTGGCAGGTTTTAAATATGTCTCAATAAAATATATTTTAAAAAATAATAATAAAATAAAATACCTGTCTCCATTCCTCCCAGAACTGGACAGAGAAGAGAAGGAAAGATAAAGGCAGAGCACATGGTGTGACTCTGAACACAAATGGAGGAGTGGGCTGATGGGTCACTGCTTGTAGACAGTCTCTGGGCCCTGAACAGGACTTTAAATCGAGGTCAAGCCTTTTACACACACACACACACACACACACACACACGCACGCACGCACGCACCCACACTCACATTACTGTACCTAAGCCTCACACAGCCTTCTTAGGTGGAAACAATGACCCTCTTTTTCAGATGGGGAAACTGAGGCTCAAGGCTTCAGGAGTCTTCAGTCTGCACAGTTAACATGTCAGGCTCCAGGACAGGCGTTCCTGGCCCCGCCGTGCTGCCCTGATCCCCCAATTCCACAGTAAGTGTCCAACTCACTCAGCACCTTCTCCTCTGACATCCCACAAGTGGGCGAGTAAAGAACACAAAAGAATCCAGGGTCTGCTTTGAGTTGTCTTCTACTGGCTGCCCACATGCTATTCTGAGAAAGCCACCTGGCTCCAGAAACATGAGCCTGATGACATCGAGCAGCCAAGTCGAGAATGATCCTTCGGGAAGACACTCCATTTAAAGGGAAATAGCTCTAGAAAGCCAATTCGAGTGTTAGGGGCTTCGGAAACCTTGGCCTGAGACAGGTCCACAGGACTCACCTCCCCAGGGAGGGCTCCCAGGTCCCAGCTCCACCCGGGTTAGTGGTGACATGCCCAGGCCCGGGGCAGGAGGCGGTAAGCTCGGGGATGCCTCAGGGTGCTGGGGCCCGGGCACAAGGATTTCCTTCAGGCAGTTGATGAGGCCTTGCAAGGGGCTGCTCCCGGGAGAGGTTCCTGTGGGGCCTGAAAGATTGGCCAAGGTCAGTGCAGCCCGGATGGTGGCCGCTGTGAGATGGCAGGGCATCTGAGATCCCCCACCTGTGAGAATGGGTTGTCTAGAGGCTGAGAGGGGAGATAACACGCCTCCATTTCCTTATCCCTCAGCTCCAGGATAGACCCCACTCTCAGGAAAGCCAGCCTCTCACCTGCTCCTGAAGTTCCTCTCTGCTGTTTGCTGTGGCTCTTCCTTCTGCTGGGGCTACAGATGAGAGGACTGCACTTCCCACCTGGGGCTCCAGGGCCTTCCTTCTCCGTAGGCCCCTGGGTGTCTGCAGTTTCTGTAGCAAGAGAAGAAGGGGATCGCCCAGATCAGGTACCCACGGAGGGAGAGGCCTCTCCGGCCCCCAAACTCTCAGGGGGCAACCTGAACTAGTCGTAGAGCCAGCTCCCGCAAGGCTTGTCCTCCAGGTCTTGCCTGGGGAAGACCTCAGTTTCCTCCTGGTGTGACTGTAAAAACCAAGACTGTTCCCTCCAAATGCCTGGGACTCTCCCCCAACTCCAGCCTCTGAGTTTGGACCAGCAGGTGACACCAGCAATCTCGACATACAGGCCCTCATTCTGCACTCATGCTTGTCAACTGTGGAGACTTGGAACCCCAGAGCAAATCTACCAGGTGACACATGAATCCACGGGCCCCAGTAGAAGAAAACTCAAAATGATAATAAAATTAATTTTATTCCATATGAATTTAAATTATTTTTAATAAAAACAGATATTCAGACAAAAGCAAAATTTGCAAGAATTTTTAAAAAAATAAAGTAAGATTCCCCTAGAGAAATTCTGATGATTACCCTTACCCTCCTCTGCTCTTAGGGTTGCCTTGATGAGAAGGCCTGAGAATCAGGTCAGGTGTGCAGCTATGTTAGGCTTGCATGTCAGCAAATGCCCCCACTTATGTGCATGAGCAGCGGGAGCACACAGTACCCCGGCACTGAGCATCACGCCTCCTCTTTGGTTCACAGACAGAGGCCGAGCAGGGAGCTTGTCCCCATTTAGCAACAAGGAAAACCAAGTCTTAGGGAAATGAACAGGGCATGGGGTCCGGTTCTACTGAATCCAGATTTGGAACCTGCCCCCACTGGGTCACACTCACTGATGGGCAGGGGACTGCCCTGCCTCCTGGCTCCCGGTGAGCTGCTGGACGATGAGCTGCTGCTGGGCCAGTGGACGGGCATGTCTGGAAGGCAGGTGGGCAGGCCTTGGAGAGGGCAAGTGGCTACCGTCACAGGTGCTGTGGGGAGGAGGGAGAGGACACTGGAAGCTGAGATTTAAGCCCAGCAGGGAAAGCGCTCCATTCCGGCCCTTCCCTGCCGTGTCCCACTAATAGGACATCAGAAAGCTCTGCCTTGTTACTCCAGAGCCCTAAAATGTCAACTCACAGCCACAGTCTTGTTCTGATTAGATCCCTCCCACCTCCACTTTCTATTTCAGTTACCATCAACAGAGCGAATGCAAAGGAACCCTAAAGGCTCCCGCGGATGGGGACAGGCTCCCTCAGTGGTGAGGCCTGAGCTGAGAAGGGCCAGTAAGGAGAGACTGGTGAGGTGGGAAGAGCACAGGCTGGGAGGGGACCTTTGTCCCCACTGGCCATTCAAACAAGCCATGGCTTAGCCTTCCTCACCTTAGAACAGGGACTGGCCTGCCCTGCCACGTAGGGCACAATACGATGTGGCCACAAGGATGTGGATGAAGCCGTGTAGAAACCACTGTGAGAAAAGTCAGAAGCTGATGTTTCATCAACTATCATGTCTCTGAGGCAGGCAGGCATGCTGCCGGGGCACTCATGAAATGGGAAGACTCCACCTAGGGCCTGGCAGCAGCTGGGCAGGCACACAGCACACACATGGCACTGCTCACAGCTTAAACTTCACCTTGTGGCGTGCAAAGGCTGCCCTGTTGTCCGACTCACCTTCAGGGTTCGCCTGTTCCCCATCCAGGCCGGCTCTCCCGTTCTCGGGTCCGATTTCCCCAAACAGGAACCCCGGAATCTCCTTCACCAGCTGCACCAGGGCGCTGAGGTGCAGGCTGTGCTGGGGTGCTCCTCCTGCTGGAGAGGCCACAGTGAATCCCCACCCCCTACATCAGCTCCGCACTCACACCTCTGTACGCGTTTCACGTGGTCCCACAACCACATCAGGAGCGGCAGAGGAGGGACCGATGGCTATGACATAAAGAGGACCGGGGCTCAGGCTGGTGACCTGCCCATGCCCCAGCCAGGACTGGGAGCTGGGACCACAGTAACTGGCCTCTTCTATATGCTGTCTTCATTACCTGTTACTCCTCCAAGGGGAATGCCAAGGCCTGCATCCCCATCCCCTCTCACCATTGGAGCCCTCTGCCTTTCCTGGCATCCCCCTAAACCTCCCGGCCTTGCCCAGGCTGGGTCTCCGGATGCCAGCCCCGTGGCAGCACCTTCAGGAACTTGAGGTGGGCTCTGCGTGGGTGGTGGCAGGAAGGGGGCCCACAGAGGTGATGCACCCCAAGGACTACCCCAGGTTTTTTCTGAGCAGATCACTCAATGGGCAAGTGTCCCAAGCGCCCAGCCCAGACGGACGAGGGGTGAAAGAGCAAGGTGGGGAGGAGAGGACTGATGTCACAGTGTCTCATGAGCAGTGGAGATAGGAGCTAAGGACCACCTGGTGGGAGGGCCCAAGCTGCCCAGGGGGACCAGGATACCCAAAGGGACCAGGCCTTCATCTACCAAGATTGCTCACCTAGGGCACCTCCCTCAGGAGGCTCCTGCTCCTCACCAGCTTTGCTCCGGCTCATGGCTCCTCCAGGCTCCGCGGGAGACAGGAAGGCAGAGAGGGGGAGCAGGTCAGCTGTCCCTGAGAAAGAAGAGGGACAGTTCCTCTGGAGTGGAAGCTTGCCTTCCCCCGCTAAGCCCAAGCATGCAGGCAGCCCCGATGCCCGCACATCCATGTATCTGTTTACCCATGTGTTCATATGACCACCCAAACCCCAAGAATCAGAGTGTTAGGACCTACAACGTAACAACTCAAACCACCTTGCTCAGCGTTTCGCCAGCCTTTTAGCACCCCCACCAAAGCGTACCCAGGACCCTAGTGTGGTCCACGGAAGCAACAATGGCGTAAAATATCAGTGAGGCCGCCAGCGCCGCTGAGGCTCTCAGAACACCACCTCAAACGGTGTTCCTTTTGTAAAGGAAGATTAAGGCCTCGGCCTGGGGTGTTGGATCTAGCCCCCTTCCACTTTCAGCTCAGGCTCTTGCTACACCTCCCCAGAAAGGCCCAGGGCACGGCCAGCTCCTCACCCAGGGAGGCCAGCGCCTGGTAGTTCTCCTGCATCACATCCCGGTAAAGTGCCCTCTGCCTCTCCCCGAGCAGCTGCCACTCCTCCTCAGAGAACCGCACGGCCAGGTCCTGGAAGGCGATGGACACCTGTGGGCACAACCTCGGGGGAGTTGGCTGGTTCCATCCCATCCAGGTCAGGCACACACAAAGGAGTGGGGCGCATCCAGCATGTGGTGGGCATCTGACACACGGGAGCAGGCGAAGGAGCAACAGCAATCAGATGGGAGTCGACTGTGTCGCCAAAATGCTCTGCTGTGAATGTGGCCTTATTTGGAAAAAGGGTCATTACAGATGTAACTAGTTAAAATAAGTTAGGACCTTAACCCAGTATGACCGGCATCCTTATAAGAAGAGATACACAAGAGAGGCAGAGACTGGATTGATGCAACCACAAGCCAAGGAACGCCCGGGGCCACCAGTAGCTGGGCAACTGAATCCTCACAAAGCAAAACGGTGGATAAGGGGAAATTATATGTATTAATACGGACCAGTAGTTTTATTGCTAGCTTTACCCAGTGGCCAAATAAGTTTCTTCTGAACAAGTACAAAAAAAATGTTTTACATAAATGTTAAAGGCACTCTTTAAAATTAAATACCCATTGCATGTTGAAGTCATTTATTACATGTTCTTACAAGCTAATATCTTTTCAAAGTATGATACTTTGTAAAACACTGTATAATACGAAGTGAGAATTCTCGGGATCCATCTGCAATGTGTTAAGGAACTGGCCTAGTTGATTTATCTATCTGTCCTCTGTGAGTTTGGTTCATAAAAATCAGTTCCCCTGAGAACCATAACCTAGGGGTGTAATGATCAACATCAGGCTCTGCCCCCGCAAAACAGGTTCCGCCCAGACACGCCGTCCAGTGGCCAGTGAGAAGAATCAAGTCAGGAAGGCCTTGGATGCTCATTTCTTCTCCATCTTCTGGTAGCTCAACACAGAGCTGGCTCGGCAAGTCCGAGTTAGATCCAGGAAGAGCACGCCGATAGCGTGGACATACTGAGCTATGGAGGGTCCTCCTTTCCAACAAGGCCACTCCCTGGACCAGGGATATTAGCTGACCTGGGCTCCTCTCTAGGTGACACATGCCATGCTGTGAGCAGCGGCCAGCCTGGACACCTCCTATCTGGGATTGCAGGCATGTACGACTGCCCTGACACACCCATCTCCCTGTACCAGGTGCCCCAGCCACCCAGCCAGCCTCTCCGCTTCATCTGCCTCTCTCCTCTGCCCTCTCTAACTTTAACACCCACACCCTAAAGGTGCCCTGCTGGCTATAAGTGACATGTCACACAGAGGCTCTGTTCTCCAGGGGCTCACAGATCAGCGGAGGCATGGTTCTGACCTGTTTCGGAGCATTTCAGACCTCCTGTTTGATACCAAACAGCCCTATGCTGGTGACACACTTATCCTGTGAGGGGCAGAGGTTCCCAAGTGGGGAGGAGTGAAGCAGCATGCAGAGTGGACAGACAGCTTCAGGGCCAAGTCTAGGGCTCAGGCCTCTGGACTAAAATTTTGGTGTCCCTTCTCTGTGCATGACTGTGACTGCATCCTATATAATAAAAGTGTAGCATGCAAATTGTCTCCTCAGACTGGGAGGTGGTCGGGGAGTTCACCAGGAGGTGGGGCTGGCTGGGGAAAGGGAGGGAGGCCCCAGGCAGCAGCACAGGCAGCAGTGGTGGTGGCAGCAGGCAGCTGGGGGAAGGGAGGGAGGTCCTGGCCAGCGGCAGCCCCTAGGGACCTTACCAGTGCATGAATTTCGTGCACTGGACCTCTAGTCCAATAATAATAATAATAAGATCAGTGAAACTAGGCATCTAGCATCCAATTTATAAAATTATTATTACCCAGTAAAGTCTGTAGGGATAGACATGGGGGTATCTGTATCAGACAGTTCCATTCCCAGTAATCTTGAAACAGATTTGTTCAAGTTGGTGATGGGGAAAGGGTACGAGTCCTGACTACAACAAATGCTCCTGTAGCCACTGCTGAATAGCATGACCCGGCTGGAGAAGGGAACGGGGCATAAGGCCAAGCGTTAGTTCTGCCGGAGAGCTAGTACAAGCCAGCAGGCAGCATCTGTTTAGTAAACCAGGTGGAAAATACTCTGTGTCCTCAGCTTCTCCCATCAGAAGCTCTTACAACATAACAACTGACAAAACAAAAGGGCTTTGAGGTTCAAAGGATGTGCTTCACAGTTCCTTTTAATCGGGGCTGATTTCCCAATGCATCCTAGATCTACTAAATTGTGATTTAGTGCTTTCAGGATTCAGAAATCAACATTTTAAAACATCCCAGGGGATTGTGACATGCAATCCAGTCACAGGCTGGAGACTGGATGGAACCTGCCTCATCTAACCCTGAATATGAAACTATGCTGGTAAACAGGCCCCCCGGCCCCTCCCTTCTCCCCAGGCACCAGCTGTCCAAAGTAGCATGTCTGTGAATTAGAGATCACAGACAATTGCTGTGGAATAGTTCATGCAAATTTCCACCCAAAACTGGGTGGCTCATCAATTTCTACCTCAGTGCCTTCACATTCCCAAAAGCTGGTCCTATTGCTGGCCTGATCTGGCAGTTAAGTTCTGGACATAGACAGGGTAGACCATGGGGGTTAGGGCTTGTCCAGGCTGCTGGCATTCCAATCCCTGCTTTGCTTCATACTAGCTATGGCACCTCGCCAAATTCATCTGTAAGACTGGGATCCTAACAACCTACGTTGTAGGGATGCTGCGAAGACTAAATAGATTGATACAGGAAAAGTGCCCAGAACAAATGCTGGAACATTTAAGTGCTATGAGTAGTGTTACCTCAGCCAAATCTGTCTGCATAACACCCACCTGCATGTCACAACCTGCCATCTCCAGCTACACAGAATGAACGGATTCTTCCATACGCTCCAAGTACCTGTTTATCTCCTGGCTAATATACCCAGCTCTTCTAGACACCTGGAAGACATGGTTCCCAGGCCTTTCACCACCCAGCCTCAAAACAAACTCTTCTATGACTAAGTTCTTATGAAATAAAAATAAAACTGACTGTGGCCAGGGTAGGCAGTCCCATCAGTGGCTTCCCCCTGCCCAAAAAAGCAGAGGTGAGGAGTATGTGTATGTGAGGGAGTGAGCAAGAATGAGTGTGAAGCTCTGGCCAGTTTGGCTCAGTGGACAGAGCTTGGCCTGAGGATCAAGGGTCCCAGGTTCAAATCCCATCAAAGGTACATGCCTGGGTCACGGGCTTGATCTCCACTAGAGAGCGAGTGAGAGGTGGCTGGTCCGTGATTCTCTCTCATCAATGTTTCTACCTCTCTCCCTTCCTCTATGAAATCGATAAAAATATATTTTAAAAAAGAATGAGTGTGAAAATGTGCAGGCCACAAATACCTTCAAGAGAGCGAAACCCACATCTGGCTTACAATCTGGACCCACCACCCTCTTCGGGTCCTATATCATCCCCTTTGTGGCTCTCAGACCACCACCCTCCCTCAGCCAATGGGAGAAAAGCTTTCTCGGGTGATCAAGGATTGCTGTAACTAAGCAGCCTACTAGCTCTCTGCTGCCATGCTGGTCCTCCTGAAACACTCCTTTCATGGTGTGACAGGCCCAGCGTGAAAACCGCAGGGTTAATACCCATCAGACTCATCCATCTTTTGCTGTCCTTCTCAGCCTGACCCATTCTCCCAGCATGCCTCAGGCTTGGGCTCCCAGATCAGACCCTGTACCCTGTAGGCTGGCCTCACAGGCCCCTGGGCTTTGGGGATTGGCACTGGTCAGAAAGACGGGAGGCCCACCCTGTTCCTCTCCATCTGATTGTGCCCTATTCCTCCCCAAGGCCATCTCTATGAAGCTACACAATGTAAGCACACACACATCCCACAACAGCAGGTCTGAAAGATCAGTGGTCCAACCCCTCATTTTATAGAAGAGGAAACTATGGAATGAGGAGGCCCTAGAATGGGGCCAGTGGGCATATCTGAGAAAGAGTGCCGACTGACCGCCAGAACTGACAAGAGAGGCTGCCCCTGCTCCCACGCCTCCAACAGGCGGCTGGTCCGTCCTACCAAAGAGCTGGTGAGGCATGAATGACGCCAAGGTCCTGGCACAGTGACTGCTCCAGACCCAATCCCCAACCCACCCCAACAATGGAGTCTATAGTTGCCTGAGACTGGTCCAAGCTCAGGAGCCATCCCAGTTACAGAACTGGCTCCAGCCGAAACCGGTTTGGCTCAGCGGTAGAGCATTGGTCTGCAGACTGAAAGGTCCCGGGTTCGAACCCAGTCAAGGGCATGTACGTTGGTTGCGGGCACATGCCCGGTAGGGGGTGTGCAAGAGGCAGCTGGTCGATGTTTCTCTCTCATCGACGTTTCTAGCTCTCTATCTCTCTCCCTTCCTCTCTGTAAAAAATCAATAAAATATATATATATTTTAAAAGAACTGGCTCCAAAAGACGCCTAAGAAAGAGTGGCGACGCCCCACCGGCATCACTCTTTCCAGGCACCTGCACACACTCCTCGGAGCGGTATCCAGCCTCTGCCAGGCGCCACTCACCTTACCTGGAGGATAAACCTGGGAGTGGTGGGCATGGGCCTAGCTCCATGTCTTCCCCGCCCCACCCCAAGGCAGATGGGGGCTGGGAGAGGTGTGTGCCCAACACCCTACCAAGAATAGAAGTATCAGATTTATTAATTCCCCCGAGGCCTTCGTGCCTACCGCTCCCAGGATAACATCATTAATGAAAACTAGCCAAGCCGAGGGAGAGCGATGGTTAACCCAAAGGGCGACTTGGCGACAGGGGAAAGAAGCCCTTGTAGAGTATACTGAAGGGGGGGGGGGGGGGGCGGCCCTTGGGGGAGAGGAAGGGGGGTGGATCTAGGTGCTGGGTGGATCTGGGTGCTGGGTGGACCGGGGTGCTGGGTGGATCTGGGTACTGGGTGGACCTAGGTGCTGGGTGGATCTGGGTGCTGGGTGGACCTAGGTGCTGGGTGGATCTGGGTGCTGGGTGGACCTGGGTGCTGGGTGGATCTGGGTGCCGGGTGGACCTAGGGGGTGGCCGGAGGAGGGACACAGCGCCAGCAACGCTGCGCGCCGGGCCCGCGAGGCCCGTACAGCCCGATCCCAAAGTTGGGGGGTCCCAGGCTCTCCCCCGCCCTGGAGGCCGCGCCCTGCCCCGCCAGCCGACCAGCTCAGGCGTCCGTCCGCCCGCCCGCCCTCCCCCGGGGTCCCCGCGCGCCTCACCTGGTGCGCCATCCCGGCCGCAGCCCCGCTGCAGCTTCCGGCCTCGGCCGGGCGCCCGCTCCCCCGCCCGCAGGTGGCGACGCGACTCTCGGCGACGACGACACGGGCGGCCGAGGAGCGGGTCGGCGCGGCAGAAGGTGGGGCCGGGCGGGCGGACCCGAAGGAGGGGCGGGGAGGGCGCGCCCGGCCGGCCCGAGCCCCGCGGCTCTGGCGGGTGGTCCCGCTTCCGCCCCGAGACCCCGGCCTCGGCGGCCTGCGGGGCGCAGGCGCGAACTACACTTCCCAGAGGGCGCCGCGGCCCGGGGCCTGGCTGAACCCCTTGCCGCCGCACCCCGACCCCCGAACCCGCCAGGAGGGGCTGGGCGCTGGGACCCGTCGGGTGGCCCGTTTATGGGGGGCTCGCCCGCGGGTACGCATCCGTCCATCCGTCCGTCCATCCATTCTTGAAACCAACACTTACTGAGCGCATCCTCTGTGCCAGGTGAGGACGCTCGGACGGCCCACATCTTAACCCGACCTTGGCCGAGGCCCCCCCGGGGTGGCGTTGGGCGGGGGGGGGGGGGGGGGGGAGGGCAGGAGAGGGAGGCGGGTCCTTCAGGGGTGGAGAGGGACTGCGGGCCACGGCGCAGGATGGGTCGTAGCGGGGCGGTGGTGGCTGCCAGACCTTGGCGCATCCTCCCCCGTCGCCCCGCTCCCGCGCTCAGCACAGCGCTGACCGCGACATTATTTCTTGGGTGACTATTTTCTGGAGAGGACCGAGTGAGGGACATGGATTGGAGACAGTGGTGTGCTTGAGCTGGCTTGCACCGGAGAGTCACTTGGGAGCATTATCTTCCCAACTCCTGAATAGTGACTTTATGGTTTTGTAGCTTAACATTGTCCATGGTGGGATTATTTACACCGGGAAATTGGGAAAGATGAAACATCAGCAATGCCCGTGCCCCAAGAGCTGGTTGTTAAACATTGACCAGCACACCACTGATTTGGGGCAATGAAAACATGTAGAAATGGGGATAAACTAGCAATTTTCACAAACAGTTTTTTAAACAATAGCTTCATTTTAACCTTGGGGGTGCGGGGTTAACCTGCCCTAGCTGGTTTGCTCAGTGGTTAGAGCATCAGTCAAGGGCATGTACTCGGTTGCAAGCTCCTCCCCAGTCTGGTCCTCGGTCCGCATCGATATTTCTCTCTGTCTTACCCTCTTTTTCCCACGCTTTCTTTTAAAAATCAATGGAAGAATATCCTTGGGTGAGGATTAAGAAGAAAAAGCGAGCCTAAACTAGCCTATGAAGAACAAGACCTGTGATAAATGAAATAAAAAGTTCATCATTCTTGGACTGTGGTGTTCAGTGACAGGGTTTTAAGTTGCCCCTGACTTTTTTTCCCCAGATTTGAGAAAGCTCAGTATCCTGAGGTTGGACTAGAGAAAGATGTTAAATCTTTAACATCAGCTCTAATAAGCAAAAGTGAGAGCTAGTAGGGGGTATCTGAATTTGAACCAGGACCTCTTGGTCTGCAGTGAAATACTCTACCCGTGAGCTACAGACATACACCTAAGTAATACCTTCCACCACTGTAGTCATGCCCATTAGTCCTGTACATTTTTGCCACCAGAGTTCACTTGGGTTGGGCCTCCTGAAAGCTGCCAAGCCTGCCTCACTGCAATTTATCTTCTGGATACAAAGCAAGCATCAGGTTCCCCTTGCTGCAGACGCCTGCCTGCCTGCGCTTTCTGGAAAAGCTCTGACAGTTACAGCTGGAAGGGGCCTGTCCTCAGATTTCCTGTCCTCAGGAATCTTATTGGGAACTTGTCAACCATGATCTGGAACAAGCTCCTGATGGAGGGTCAGAAAACCCACTTTGAGAAACACCTGTCATGGGTCTACATCTGCTTCCTTTTTTCGCCACCTGCTGGCAGACTCCAGTACTGCAATACCCAAGGAGGGGATAGGCTGAGAATTCCAGCACCAGTCTCAGGACTAGCCAGAGCTGGTGGGGAGAGCCCCAGGATGGAAACCAGGGACCACAGTCAACTGCTCATACTCTGAACTCCACTGTCGGCGAGTGGTCCTTAATTTCATGGTGCATCAGAACCCTCACAGTCATCTGGAGGGCTGACTAAAACAAAGATGACAGTCCTGCCCTGAAAGTTTCTGATGAACAAGTTTTCAGGAAATACTGATGCTGCTGGTTCAGGGCCATACTCTGAGAGCCCCTGCTCTAGACCTTCACAGCCCTGGGACCAGACACTTCACACCGGTAGCCCCACCGAAGGTGCCTGTTCACCAATGTCCCTTCTGCATGCCCCGGCTCCACCAAAGGCCAGTGCCTGCCGGGATCATGGGGGTGGTTTCTTTGTCCTCAGTTAGTCCTCTTTCTATTTTAACCATTTAAGAAGCCAAAACTCAAAAAACCTTTTGCCTGCTCCCCAATATGGAAAAGTTTGTTCAAGTAAATCAAGGGGATGCATGAACCTTTTCCATGTAGAGCAGCCCAATGTAAATTGAAAAGCCCAGTTTGGCCAAGACCGGTTTGGCTCAATGGATAGAGCATCGATTGACTGAAAGGTCCCGGCTTTGATTCCGGTCAACAGCATGCACCTTGGTTGCGGGCATATCCCCAGTAGGGGGTGTGCAAGAGGCAGCTGATCAATGTCTATCTCTGATCGATGTTTCTTACTCTCTATCTCTCTCCCTTCCTCTATGTACAAAATCAATTATATATATACATTAAAATTATATATATATATATATATATATATTTTTTTTTTTTTTTTTTTTAAAAGCCCAGTTTGTCTCAGAAAACTCCAGCGTGGAGGGTTTATATTGTTATTCCAGTGTTACAGGAAGGGAAACAGAAGGCTAGAGGGCATCTTTGTCCCCACAAAGGAGAGTATCCAGGTTGGAACAGGTATTACTTCAGAGATGCATTTGAATATCCTTGGTTTTTGGAGGTTTCTTAGAGCTTCTATTCAACTTCCCTTTCTTAATTAAGGTCTGCTGGGCACTGTAGGGCACTGAGCAGAAGCTGAGATTCAGTGCAGTCTGAGATAAGTGGGCACAGGCTCATGAGACAGACATCTTTGAGCACTTACCACGAGCTAGAAGCTGCACTGTGTTGTGAGGATACAGGGTGAGTAATACCAGCTCTGCCGTTAAGCATCTTACAGCCTCGTGGGCAGACAAACCAGTAGAAAACTAACTTCTGTCTGATGTGTTGGGGGGCCTGTTGGAGCACAAAGGAAAAGTGAGGGAGGGTGAGCTGAGGCTGAAGGGGAAGCACTCCGGAGGAGGGATGAGTATGAGAGGGAACAGGGATGGGGGAGAGCAGAGCTTGGCCAGGTGTTAGGAGTGTTGACCAAGACACAGAGCCTGGTCTAGGGGGATTGATCAGATATGAGAGTCAGGGTGGGCTTAGTTCACTCTCCGGTGTCTGGCTTTGATATTTGGAGAGCTGATAGTACCACTCACTGACACAAAGGAGGAGGAGGAGGAGAGGCTGGGAGGATGGGGCAGAGCTGAGGGAGGAGGGAAGGAAGGCAGAATCTGGGAACTCAGGATCTCAAACCTGGTGCTGCCCCACAGGAGCTAGAGTGAAAACATGTCTCTGAGAAAAGGGAGGGGTTCTCGGGGGGAATGGAAAGGTGAACTCATGGCCAGAGAGGGATTTCCAGTCAGTCTGTGATGGGTCTGCCAGTTTCATCAGCCAACCAGGAATGAGTAGAACTTACTGTACACTATGGAATGTTTGGGTTACACAGGTGAAGTAAGGTAAGGAGGACTTCTTACTATGCAAGGGGGTATAGCTCAGGGGTAGAGCATTTGACTGCAGATCAACAGGTCCCCGGTTCAAATCTGGGTGCCCCCTATGGCAACTTGCTTTATTGTCAAGTACAGATAAATGACCTTGATACTACATTCTACTAAATAGCAATGTCTTTAGTGGGTGCAGAGCCACCCCTTTGCTCTGGGCTCCCTATGTATCAGTCTGGGCCAATCAGGAGATAGAAACCACATTTTAACAGAGGAAGTTTAATATAAATAATCATTGTGCTATAAAAGGAGAGTAATTACAAAGGTTCAAAGAAAACTCTAAAGGTACCTCTGAAGTGAGGGTCCCAAGCAAGAACACACTTACGTGGGTGACCCTTCCCCAAAGCTAGGATTCAGACCTCATCAGGGAAGGTGTGGTTGCAGCTCACCTGCCGGTTGACCCACCCAGACCTGTTCACGGTTGCCAGGCAAAAGGAAGCAGCCTTCAGGGACACGGGTGAGCCACTCAGAAGGATGAGGACTGGAAGGCATGGGAACCAGGTCTCTGCAGAGCCGAGCCCAGGCTGACACGGGGGAGTTGGGGTGGGGAGCATGGAGGTGGTCAGCACTCCAGTGGGGCTGCAAGGCCACAAAGGGGCTTCCTTCTCCGGGTGTGTGCCTGGGCAGGGCATCACCATGTGTCCTCACACAGCGGGAGCCAGGGAGGATGGCAAGAACATGCAGCTAGACCTGGGAGAGAAGCCCCCTCTTTTATGCAACATCCCTCTGGCACCCTCTACTGACAACTGTTAACATTGTGCTCTCTTAAAGGAAAAAGACTGAATCAGTCTGTTATCCCAGAGCCAAAAGGGTGAGCTTAGAGAGGCTACTAGGGCTGTCGAACTCAATCAGAGAAGGGGCCAAAATCTAAAATCCAGCCTAAATCGCGGGCCGAATGGTTTACTGAACAGTCATAAACTGTCATTGTGATGGAAACGCAGCGGAATGCAGTGATGACAGCGCGGTGCGGGCCACATTGCAAGGCCTGGCGGGACGGATTTGGCCCGCGGGCCTTGTGTTTGACACATGTGGGCTAGTCAATACAGTGAAACTGGCACACCGTGTGGCTTGTTTTGGCCAATAGGATGTTAGCAGATGTGATGCAAGCAGGGGCTTGAGATCCACTTGCAGAGTTGGGTTTGCTCTGCATACTTCCACCATTACTATGGGATGTGCTTATCCTGTAAGCTGATGTCCTTCAGCCGGGGCCTCAGCCTGGAACATGGCTCAACCAAGCCCAGCTCCCCAAGAGGAACCAAGGCCAGTTAGACCTGTAGCTTGTAGCCGACCCACCCAGGCAAGCCCAACCTAGATCAGCTGATTCCATTCAACCTGCAAGCCCACGAGCATGAGA